ACTGTGCACGACGTGGAAGGGACCTGGAAGGACCTTACGCAGAATGTCAACGGCATGGCCATGAATCTCACAACACAAGTCAGGGAAATAGCAACGGTTACAACTGCAGTCGCGAGGGGCGATCTGAGCAAACGAATCAGCGTCGAAGCCCAGGGCGAGATCTTGGATCTCAAAAACACCATCAACACCATGGTGGATCGTCTGTCTACATTCGCGTTCGAAGTGTCCAAGGTCGCACGAGAAGTCGGGACGGACGGAACTCTTGGTGGCCAGGCCCAGGTCGAGAATGTTGAGGGCAAGTGGAAAGATCTCACCGAGAATGTCAACGTCATGGCCTTGAACTTGACCACTCAGGTAAGCAGCGGTCATACCTCTACGTCCCTTACCAGGTGCCTCATTCGAGCTCTTGCTGACTTCGTTACAGGTCAGGGGAATCTCCAGTGTCACACAAGCCATTGCGAATGGCGATATGAGCCGCAAAATCGACGTCGAGGCTAGGGGCGAGATACTCATTCTTAAGGACACCATCAATGACATGGTTGACCGACTCAACAGCTTCTGTAATGAAGTGCAACGAGTGGCCAGGGATGTCGGTATTGACGGCATTCTTGGAGGCCAGGCAGACGTCGCAGGGCTCAAGGGTAGATGGAAGGAGATCACGACTGACGTTAATACAATGGCCAATAACTTGGTAGGTCTTAGGAGGCCACTTCTGATGTGTCGAAATTTTTCATATACTAACGAAGTGCTCTAGACGGCCCAAGTGCGTGCCTTTGGGGACATTACTAACGCTGCCACCGACGGGAACTTTACCAAGATAGTGGAGGTCGAAGCATCCGGAGAGATGGATGAGCTGAAGAGGAAGATCAACCAGATGGTATTCAACCTCAGGGACAGTATCCAGAGAAACACACAGGCTCGAGAGGCTGCCGAGTTGGCCAACAAGACGAAATCCGAGTTCCTGGCGAACATGTCGCACGAAATCCGGACGCCCATGAACGGCATTATCGGGATGACACAACTGACCCTCGACACCGACCTGACACAATACCAGCGGGAGATGTTGAACATAGTCAACAGCTTGGCTAACAGCTTGCTCATCATCATCGACGACATTCTCGATCTGTCCAAGATCGAGGCCAGACGCATGGTCATCGAAGAGATCCCTTATACGTTGCGTGGCACAGTCTTCAATGCCCTCAAAACATTAGCGGTCAAGGCGAACGAGAAGAATCTCGAATTGACTTATCAGGTCGACAGCTCGGTACCTGATCATGTCGTCGGTGATTCGTTCAGGCTGAGGCAGATCATCCTCAACTTGGTTGGAAACGCCATCAAATTCACGGAGAACGGCAAAGTCAGCCTGCAGACTCAGAAGTCGGACCTGACAGTCAAGAGGGACGAGTACGCCATTGAATTTGTGGTCAGCGACACCGGTATTGGTATACCGGCTGACAAGCTCGACCTCATCTTCGACACCTTCCAGCAAGCTGACGGCTCCATGACCCGGAAATTCGGCGGTACCGGTCTGGGGTTGTCCATTTCAAAGAGACTGGTTAACCTGATGGGAGGTGACATTCGAGTGGAGAGTGAGCTAGGACACGGCAGTGCTTTCTTCTTCACCTGCGTTGTACGATCAGCCGTCGACGACGTCTCGTACATCGCAAAGTCGCTGAATCCCTACAAGGGACACGAGGTTCTCTTCATTGACAAGGGGAACACCGGCCACGGCTCTGGCATAGCGCACATGCTTCGGGGCCTAGGTCTCTTGCCCTCCATCGTGGACTCAGAGAAAGATCCCATCCTGGTTAAGCAACGTGAGAAGGGCACCACGCCCTATGACGTTATCATCGTGGATGATCTGGACACTGCGAGGAGGCTACGTGCCATCGACGACTTCAAGTACCTCCCCATCGTTCTACTGGCGCCTGTCGTACATGTCAACCTGAAGTCGTGCCTTGACTTGGGCATTACCTCGTACATGACGACGCCATGCAAACTTATTGACCTGGGCAACGGCATGATCCCGGCTCTCGAGAACAGAGCCGCGCCTTCGCTGGCTGACAACACGAGGTCTTTTGAGATTCTCCTGGCCGAAGACAACGCCGTCAATCAGAAGCTCGCTGTCAAGATTCTTGAGAAGTACCACCACGTCGTGACAGTCGTGGGCAATGGCGAGGAGGCGGTCCATGCTGTGCAGAAGAAGAAGTTCGATGTTATCCTCATGGACGTTCAAATGCCAATAATGGTAAGAGTCTCCATTTCCTCAGCCCAGATCATTTGAAGTATTTTACTAACCTGGATCTCTACAGGGAGGCTTCGAGGCCACTGGGAAAATCCGAGAATATGAGCGCAGCCTGGGTTCACAACGGACGCCGATCATAGCCCTCACAGCCCACGCCATGATGGGCGACAGGGAGCGGTGCATCCAGGCGCAGATGGACGAGTACCTGTCCAAACCCCTGCAACAAAATCACCTCATACAGACCATCCTCAAGTGCGCGACGCTTGGCGGTGCTCTGGCTGGGAACCGTGACCGGGACATATCACGACAAGCCGACGCCAAGGCCGCGGGGGCCCGTATTCCCACCGACCTGTCGGGAAACTACCTGCGGCCGCAGAGGCCACAGCTACAATCACACGGCTCGGACATCGTCAAAGGCCGGATGGACAGCCCTGCTTTGGTGTCAGCTGACCAGGAGGACCCATTGGCAAGGGCACGTAACAGCCTCTCCGCTCCTCCCGCCGGGCAAAAGCGCAAGCGTTAGCTAACTTTACTTTTTTTGGCCTGCAACAGCTCATCTTCCGAGCCAACAGCCAGTAGAAGCACTTGTTCGTTATACCTTGACCACACTCCGTCCTGTACACCAGAGAGAGAGAGAGAGAGAGAGAGAGAGAGAGAGAGCACGCGCAAGAGAGCGAGGGGGGGAGAGGAGAGCGTGAGAACAAACACAAATTTGCCGATTTTTCGTCCATCAGATCAGATGCAGCAAAGCAAAACACACCATTTCTTTTGCCAGCAGCAAGCAGCAGGGCCAGGTCGCTACGGCTATGATACCACGGGGGCTCTTCATGAGTTCAAGTTTCTTCACGTAACATGTCAGTTTATAACGGGGTTTATTGTTAGGCAAAGGGTTGCAAGGCATTTGGCGGCGTTAGTTGATTTTCCATGGGTACAACATTTTGAACACGCTTTTTTCCCCTTTGGAAAGTGGTGGGACTGCGCCTTTCGCAAGTGAGCATTTTTCTACAACCATCATATCATCTCCGGTTCCGAACGGAGCGCAGTCAAGGCTCGTTCTCCGAGCTACGGAGGCCAGATATGGAGCAGAGGGCGTTGTATGCACAAGACAAGGGGGTGGGCGGGCAGGGAAGAAGAGGAGGGCAGGTGGGTGAGGGTGGTGGCGATGGCGATGGCGATGGCGATGGCGAGGAAGTAGGGGACAGCTAACATAACATGGTGAGACTGGCGGTGGTGGACGGCGAGCGTTCTCCGCTAGGCTACTCTGTTGCAAATATTTATTCGTAGTATGTCTACTTGGTGAGGCGACATAATCCTTTCGCTTGGTTTTCCTTGTCCGCTCCGGTAACTCGGACAGGTCTGTGGCTGAGACCTTTGACGGCCGATACCCTCGGGAATGACGATTGACCCTACATGTCTCACCTCACCGCGTGCAATCGAGATGATGCGTCACTCCGGAGACCACAACAGGTCAGACTGCTGCAGTCTAAGGGGGTTTAGGAAAAAAAGCCTCCGGATCTCTGCAACCGGGGGCGACCCTTACGAGCGTGCGCACTTGGAATCCCATCCGGACTGACTCGGCCCCCAAGGAGCTGGTTGGCCGGCTCGAGAAGGAGAGGTGCCGCGCCGGAATACCAAGTGTTTTGCTGTACTGCAGGTTCACGTGTAGCACGTAGCACGTAGCACGGAGCCTCCCGGGGGAGATGAGGTCTTTATGGGGCGAGACAGTGGCCCGTGGTCGGATGGACGGCTGGGGCTGGGCAAAACCTTGAGCGGGCTGCTTGAGTAGCTGTAAAAGGCGTATACCTATGCGCTGGTGTCTACCATGTACCATGACGACGTAGAAGGCAGGACGCTTTTTTTATGTTTTTCCATAGTTTGCGGGGGTCCCGGTTTGGGCACCGTGATCCGAGCGGAAGATGGTTCGTCCTGCCCCTCTGCCTGCCAGATCTCGCTCTTGGCCGCACCAGCCCCCAGACCATCACACGTGTGTGCGACGGACCGAAGGATCCGCATGATGCAGCAAGTGCTTGTCCCCCGTGTGCGGGATGAACTCTCTTCTGGGTGCGCTTCAAGCTTCATCCATGGGCCTTGGCTTCTTGTTGCTGAGCGGACCCCTGTCTTACTAGCTGCGTAGCACTCTTGTGCCGAACACTCCCCCAGGGGACTGCGGGTTGGGGGAGTGTGGAGCAGCTGGATCCCTGTCCATCACAGGCCAGCCGGACACTTTCTTCTTGGCCAGTGCACGGAGACCTGCCCACCCCTTGCTGTGTAGGAGGGGAGGTGAGGGGAGGGTGAGGGGCCCAGGATGTGCAGTCGCGTCAATTGCAGGGAGCTTGCATGTGTGCCAGTGATTATTTTTGTAGACATCTCACTTCTGGTTCCCGCGCCTGCTCACAGGAGAGCATGATCCAAGTAAAACTGCCTTGCGCTGACCCATTGACAAACACCATATAAGTATTCACCTCCGTAGAAAAGGCTGGCACATTTTGTTGTTGAGTTGAGGACACTCTTCTGTCCCGCACCAGGAGAATTAGTTGCATTGCTTCACGAATTGCCCCCCCCCCAGTCACCTACCCGCCTCGTGCTGACCCAGGGCATAATTTCCTCCCGTACGCGCAAACGTACACGTAGCACGCAACGCCCTCACGCCTCTTCACATCGTCAATCCGGCACCAGAGCACTGCCTCCGTCCCTGCTTCCGTCCCTGCTACCGTCCCTCCCTCCTTGCACAACCTTCCAGCCACCCACAGACGCCATGGTCATCAGCTACCCCCCGCTCGAGGACCGGCCCCTCAAGAACACCATCTGCCTCTTCGACGTCGATGGCACCCTCACGCCGGCGCGGCGCGGCGTCTCCGCCGAGATGCTGAACCTGCTCGCGCGGCTGCGCCAGAAGTGCGCCATCGGCTTCGTGGGCGGCAGCGACCTGGCCAAGCAGCAGGAACAGCTGGGCACCCCGGACGTGGCCGTGACCACCCTCTTCGACTTCTGCTTCGCCGAGAACGGCCTGACCGCCTACAAGAACGGCGAGCAGCTGCCCTCCAACAGCTTCATCCGCTGGCTCGGCGAGGCCCAGTACAAGGAGCTCGTCAGCTTCTGCCTGCACTACGTCGCCGACCTCGACATCCCCGTCAAGCGCGGCACCTTTGTCGAGTTCCGCAACGGCATGGTCAACGTCAGCCCCATCGGCCGCAACGCCAGCGTCCAGGAGCGCAACGACTACGAGAAGTACGACAAGGAGCACCACGTGCGCGAGAAGTTTGTCGAGAAGCTGCGCGAGCGCTTCGGCCACCTCGGCCTGACGTGAGTGCCCACCTACTCACCTGCCCGCACTTGTCATTTCTGCCCAATTGCACCGGGAAGGAGAGAACCATTGACTAACTAACCATCTCCCCTTTCACGCAGTTTCTCCATCGGCGGCCAAATCTCCTTCGACGTCTTCCCCACCGGCTGGGACAAGACCTACTGCCTGCAACACCTCGAGACCGAGGCCAAGAAGACGGGAGGAATAACCTACACGACGGTCCACTTCTTCGGCGACAAGACGTTCAAGGGCGGCAACGACTACGAGATCTACGAAGACCCCAGGACGATCGGGCACTCGGTGAAGGGGCCCGAGGAGACGATGGGGGAGCTCAAGAAGCTCTTCGAGCTGGAGTAGAAGGTGTTTACGACCATCCGGTGCTGCGGTGTGTCTCGAGAGGAGATACTGTCGGGCGGGCGCGTCCAGCCCCTCCGGCTTGTGGTGGGAAATTGGCTTATTGAGATACCAAGTAGACAACCATGCCATTGTCTACATGCCCTTTGGCAATCATACCCACTGCAATTATATCGTCGATCACAAATTTCGAGAATTGCATGTTTGACGTGAATAAGGTGCTGCCAATGGGAAGCAAGAGGTCAGGTGAAATCGCATCTACTCTGCTTCGTGGCCTTTACGCTCAACCTTACCTGGAAGAGCATGCTGTATGCAGACTTGCATGTCCATTCTATAGGCTTTCATTCCAGAAGCTTCAAGCTTATATACAAGACTGAATCGATACCATTTTCTTTTCCCCGGGCTTTTACAGTCATTTTGCGTCGACACATCAGTCGGACCGAGAGTTGTGGATGTCCAGGACCAGAATGTCCGTAGCCCCGACCTTAGCGAGCTCGTCCATCGTCGGGGCGATCTTCTTCTTCTCGACCATGGCGCTGACGGCGACCCAGCCCTCCTCCTCGAGCTGCGTTATCGTGGGCGCGCGCTTGCCGGGCGTGACGGAGGAGGCCTTGCTGAGGTGGCTGCGGGGGATGTTGTACTGGCAGAGCACGTACCTCTGGGCAGTGATGACGCCGCGGATGCGCGAGGCGATCAGCTCGACCAGCTCCGGTTGTGATGGTGCTTTTGACTTGATCAGGATCGAGGAGGACTCGACCACCGTGTCTATTGGCTTGAGGCCTGCCGCCTTCATCGTCTCGCCGGATTCTGTATCACTTGGTCAGCTTAGGGGCTCCTGTGCACCGTAAATGCGACAAAATCAAAAAGGTCGTTCAAGACAGAGTAGGAGAGGGGTACTGACCAACAAGATCCACAATGCCGTCTGCGACGCCCAGGGCGCACGCCGCCTCGACGCTGCCGCTCAGCTCGATGATCTTGGTCTTGAGCTTGCGCGAGGGGTCCCACGAGTCGCCGTTGGCGGGCTCGCCGTCCTGCTCCAGCTCGAGGCGGGTGAAGTACTCCTGGGCGAGGTGGACGAAGCTGGTGCCGATGTTCTTCCCGATCAGGTCCCTGCCGTGGGCGTAGCCGCCCTTGACGGGGACCTGGACCTGCAGCCTGCAGGCGCCGAAGCCGAGGTCCATGACGGTCTCGCAGCCGCGGGGCTTGCCGTCGGCCGGGGTGACCTCGCCCGACATGCGCCGGGCCCTCGTGGAGCTCCTGTAGCTGGCCTCGTACTCCTGCACCTGGTCGTAGCCCGTGATGCCCAGGTCGACCTGGCCCTCGCCGATGAAGGTGGGGATGTCCGCCGCGGGGAGGAAGATTAGCGCAATGGGCAGGTTCTTGACGAGGGCGATGTCGAGCCGGTTCTCCCGCCGGAACTGGATGTCGGCGCCCTCGAGCAGGTTAAGCGTCGCCTGTTGCAGCCGGCCCTCTGGCGCGTGGCGTGTTGCGTTAGCTTGGCCGTCTGTCTGCGGGCTCGGGGAGGGTTCAGAGTCTGGGGCGCCGGGGCGGCAACGTACTCTTGGGCACGGCGAAGAGCAGCCGGCCTTCTAGGCTTCGCGAACACGAACATTGTCAGCTGCTGTCACAGCCTTCCTTCCATGCACCGTCGGTGGGCAGCAGCAGTTTGAGACAGGGGGACGAGAGCATACTGGTTGACCAAATCCATGGCTAAAGCTGGCACAGTTCCAGTCAATGGCAGGATTGGCAGATGTGGATGTCTGGGTGATCGGTTGCAGCTGCCAGTGGTCAGTTGTGAGTTATGGCAGCAGAGAACCGGTTGGGTGGGTGATGAGTCAAGCTCGGGAATAGCATCCACAAGTCAATAGAGGGGCATAAATGCAGAGGGGCAGAAGGTGGCCAGAGATTCCGCCGGGGGGCTCTGGTGTCCTACAAGCCAATTGGACACACCTTAAGTGGGAATTAAGTATGCTATCAGTGTTTATCTACTTGACGTCTGGAAGAGAGCTGGCGATCATGTCGTTGCTCCCGAATGGTGTCACAGAAGATTTCTGCTGTACACAGATACGGTAGATAGGTGCACGTTCCTGTACCGGAGCTTCTCAACGGCTCTCACACGCTGCTCAATTGTCAAACTTGGAATGGCGGGGCAACTGCAGATAGGCGAGCGAAATGATTTGCAGCACTAGATTCCATCCGGTCTGGTGCCTGCAGCACACTGTACATGTACATACCTAGGTAACTGCATACTAACCAATTAGATATGAGTGGACGGCTTACGTAACTTATACAGGCTGCAAACACACCTCTTACTTTCTCTGTGCCCAGTATCTACCGGTATATATCTACCAAGAAATTGCTGACCTCACATCACTCATTACTCATTCATCCTTTTTCATGTCTTTTCAGCTTCCATATGTTCTGGATCCCTCAGCAGAAAATGTCTGGTGCTTGCTTGCCTGAAAGTGACAGTGGCAATAGCCTTCCTGCCCACTACTCTTCATTGTCAGGGTCCGGTATTGGTGATGACATTTATAACCTGTGGCAACAAATGAATAGATCATGGATTTTGATGGATCTTGTCGAGCACACCGTATGTGCTGGGAGCACATAATTGCTCACTGCCGTGTTGCTTCTTCCCAGATGATGCCGTCTTCGCTTCTACACGGACCACTTGGGCAGTGCTTAGGGATGTTATGACAGCGTTTTGAGAAGCAGTCTGTTGTCTACTATGTCCAATGTGGTTGAATTCCCTCCTATGAGCACATAAATTTGGACCACCAGAATGACGTGTTCAGCCTACCACCAGCTGGTCTGTCACAAAAGAATATTAATTGTCCTCCTTTCTTGAGATGCCAATCTCCAAGACTCCGTCCCATCAATCGGTCAAACACTGATATCATCTTCAAGTCACGAACTTTCTTCTGATAGAGAGAATCATGACGTCAGTATTTATTCTGTGCCAAAGTGGTACGGGTTGGGGAGACTGCGCCTCCTGAAGGCGACCAGCAAAACGATAAGAAGAGACGACTTTCCCCCCATGGAAGCACAACTCTCATGAACACACCGAGCCTAAGAGGGCCTGCCTTCTTCATCCGTTAATGATCGAGGGACACTCCTTCTACTCCTGAATTCCTCCCTCTGGATGTTCCAAGTCTGCCTCCAGCGGCCAGCCATTGCTCCGTCCGGATCTATTTCTTCCTCGGGTATTCAGGGGTCCACACCTGTTCTCTTCAAGAAGCCAACATTCCTGATGAACGGAGACAATCAAGGGCAAGCACAAGCATCGAAGCTTAACAGCAACCGCGTTTGGTATCCCTGAGACCCCTCGTCTTCGTCACCGGGGTTCGTCTTGTCTGCTGAAATCGTCAGCTTGTGTGGGTTTTCCGGCGTATTTACAGGTCCACACACCACTCAAGTCATCTTTCAACAACATTATTCCGACTGAAGCTGGCATCTGGCAAGGACCTGATACCACGTCCCACTCCGTCTTGGTTACTGCTTGGGCGTGAACCACCTCGTTTCCACGTCCCGGTCGTTATTTGCACATCTCATGTTCTGCTTGCCGTTCGTTTCTGCTATCACGAGTTCGTCAGGGATCGATTCTAAGAGGAAATACTTTCCAGCGCGCAAAAATCCCCATTCCCTTTGAATGGACATATTCATCGGTGTGTCGTGATGAAATTGCAGCCGACTGTGGCTTGCTACATCGTCTTCAGCGTCTCGACGCTACTCGGCTTCACACGTGGACACGTCCTACAGCAAACACCAAAATTCTCTGATCACGAGGACATTACCTTTGTTCCGTGGCAACGTCGAAGCTACTACGAATAGGTACGAACAATCACGAGCGAACTCTGACGAACTCAAACGCCCCAGTCTGCCCCAACAAACGGGATTCCCGGAAGCATACGTCAGATCGCGATCAGGCGTACCAAGCTTTCATCCAACTCAATTCAGAATTGTTCGTTTCATGAGCATATATTCGAAATTGATGCTGGACTTCTACCCTCAATAACCCTGTTCTCGGAACTTTTACCCCTGACTACTTATCCACTCTCAAGAACCCCCTAGCTGAGAATTCCTCCGGTTAGACATGAGCTCGTCCAACGGCCGCCGTCCAGGCCACAGTTCTCGAGGACATCGACCGCCAAAGAAGCCAAAGATGAGCGATGAGGAATGGGCCAAGTCCCTGGCTACATTCCAAGGCGTGGTCGACAACGAGGCATCCGATGACCGTTCCATACAACTGGCATGGGACACATTGCGACGGGACTATAAGAATAAATTCAACGCGAAGGTGTCCGCTCACTCAAGCCAACAGAATGAGGAACCTTTTGGTATCTGGGCTGCAGAGAAGTTGAGTGAACAGACTCTCGAGCGAGTCCTCTGTCTGGTATTCCGCAAAGACCTGGCCGAGTGCGACCACATGTCTCTTCTCAGGAGTACTGCTGCCAAAGCGAACACGACAGTATGGCATATGCTGCTCTACTTTGGCGCATCCATGTTCTCCGAATCCATGCTCAGCAAGGTCAGGAAACGACTGCGCGTGTTTGAGCTAGACCCAGTCACCGGAGCGTCAAACTTCAAGAGCGCATACCTGAAGGCGCTCCAGGCCGCAGCGAAACGTACTAAGGTGGTGCTGGATACAACCTCAGTAGCTGCTACGAATGCGGTTCGGGTCTTTATCAGTACTGACTTGGCTGCAATGGCCTCTGCTAACCCCGAGTTTGATCCTCCTGCGCGGAAGACCGGCGGCGCCACTGGCAGCTCGCAGGCCCAGGGGCAAGGAGCGAGTCACTCTGTCGCCGACACAACCCGAAACATGTCCAAACCAAGAGGCACAGAGACACAGAAAACAAAGAATCCAGAAGGCAGTGCGAGTACCCAGGGACGGGAGGATGGCTTGCATCTTGCCACCGCAGACGGCGAGACTATCAAACCATCAATCGAGTCTAACATACCAGATCGTCAACCTGACCGTGCTGCGCAATTTCCCACGGCACCACGTCTCCTTCGCTCCGAGTCTGAAGGTCGGCGCAGCCACCTCCCCTCAGTCGCTCCGATGACCAGACCGGACAGACACAGAGGCACTAGCACTCGTCGGAACCCGCCACGTAAGGGCAGGCCGGGTCCAATGTACGTTGGGGTCGCCCCAACTGATACTGGCGAGGCCCCGATCAGAAATGGTGAGACTGCCGTCGACCTCGAGATCAAGGCCGAATCTTCTTCGGTTTCGGCGACCAACAGGTCCACGGGTGAGGAGCCACCGACCAGAGTAGGGTCTACCATCCACTGCGCTCCAGACATGCTTCAAGCCACGTCGAAGCGGCCCCTCACGGTGCAGGACAGTGAGCCTGCTACGCCCAAAAAAGACGGAACAAAGCGCCCGAAACAGACTCTTACGCGCAGTGATCTCCTGGACTGCGGAGGGGACTGGGATGATGAGACGGTGCTCACCATCCTCAAACAGCTCGAGTCCACGTGCCATGCTGAGTATCTTGTGGTCGATGGTATGAGTGACGACGACAATCTTAGCACGCGGAACCAACTTACCGGAGAAGCTGGGACGAGGGGCTCTCTTCTTATCCCCTTGAAACTTGCGGCTGGACAGCGGTTACTGGTGGTCGTGGAACTCAACCCTCCAGGCAAGCCAGGCAGAGGCGTTTTGCGATACTACGATCCCTGCGGCCCGCCAGATGAGGATGCAGTAACCGAGTACGCCCCAGCAGTGAAGCTCGCACAGCTATTATTCCATGTGCTTCCCGACCGGGATCTCAACAGGGCCCTGTGGAAATCGGAATACTGCGTCTGCCCTGAGCTCTCCTGCGAACAAGACAGTGGTCTGTCGATATGCCTCGGAGCCATGTACGCAGTCGGTGGCCGCCCGCTCCCCGAGATAGTGGACTGGTTGTTCTGGAGACACCTCGTGCTTGGCGCATTCTTTTCGGATGATGCAGCCGTGCAGCTGCGGATCGCGCGCTACCGGGGCGAAACAGTCCACAAGCTCATCCGCCAGGGCCAGATGTCAGATGGCGCACTGGTGCCCCAGGGGAGGCGGGTCTCGTCAGACATCGAGTACCTGGGCACCGCAGCCATGAACCCCGTCGACCGTATCGAGTGCCGCGCCGACAACGCAAAGAAGACCATCGAGGTCATTCACGAGGGCTGCAGGATCTTTCATGGCCTCCAGGAGAAGGTGGACACGGCGAAGGCCGATCTCAAGACTAGGCTCGACAAGAGCACATACATTCGTGACAGCCTGCGCCGCAAGCTCAACGTCGGCGACCAGATTGTACTCGGCGCACCGCCTACAAAGGTTGAGCAGGATGATGAGACCGCCGAGGCCTTTGACAGAATGACTCTGCAGCAGGCCATCGAAGAACACGGTCTTTGCAAGGCTCGTCTTGACGGACTTTCGGCCAGCAGCGAATCCGTCCGCCAGGCTCTGCACGAGCTTGGAATTTGGCGCCGTGACGTGAACGCGGCCGTCCTGGAAGACGATGCAAGTATCTTGAACAAAGGGGCCAACTAATGCACACGAGAAGCATGGTTCAGCCTGACCTTGGACACTCTTGCACTCATATCTAGCCAGGCTGGTGCACCATCGACAGCGGAGAAGAAAGAAATCAGAGCGGAAGGAGGAGAGGAGATAAGAGCATTAAAGCACTGGCTGTAGTCGGTTATCAAGACTGCGCAGGCCCGGCATTCCGAACCGTTCTCGATTTCGAAACGACCAGGAACAGCACGGCAGGAGACTATTCTAGCCGCCTCGAGCAAGCACTGCTGCACAGAGCCTACGCTCAGGTGGGCAGAAATTTGAGAATGTTCGCCACCCTGTCAATGGTGTTGGAGAATGAGAACTTCGACTTCGGGACAGGCAAAAGCGGTGCTTTGAAGTTTGGGAGTTCCCTGGGCAGGAAGGCGGATCGGAAGGTCGATAATCAGATTCCTCTGCTTCCCAGATCACTGAGATGGATGGGTGATCATGAATGACGGGAGAATCCTCCCACACCTGGATCCCATTCCCATCACGTTCTCCGAGTGGCCGGCAAGCATCACAGAGCAGCATAGCCAGCTTAGACCAGGACTTCCCTCACGGGATTTTTGATACGGTACTGTCATATGTAGGACACACCAGCATTCATAGAGAAAAGAAGCTGCATTTTTAAGAATGGCCAGCGTAGTGTGAAGTTAGCTGTTGCTGTCGCCACCATTTGTCCCGAGGATCTGGGACCAGCCCCGCTAAAACGTAGCGATCTCACGCGGGCCGCAAGCACTAAGGCGCCTAAATATAGTGACAGATGCACAGGCGATGCAACTGTGCAGGCCGGAGAAGGTCCCCTGGCGCCAATGGGGTACGTCACCTTCTTCGAGATGATCTTATCTACCTCCACATCCCTGTCCACACACCTAACACATGTCTCAACCCACCAACCTTCTCTTACTCGCATTCCCTCCATGCGACGGCAATAGACACCTAGCATTGACTCTCCCTGCCCTCTCTGTCTCACTCGATAGGCGACCCAATCTCCCAACGAAAGCTTAACAACCCAGACCTGATACGGAAGCCAAGGAAGTATGTGAGCATCTGCGTGGCCGGAGCAGCCGCTCAACCATCGCGCCCCTATGCATACCACGACTCCCCGCATCGTTCAATGCGCGAGATGCCCATGCAAATGAAGACCAACAAAGAAAAACCCACAAGAGATAGTGGACAGAGGGACGGAGTGCTGACAAAGAGCTTCCCAGCACGTCGCGACACCCCTTACGACCGCGCCCGAGCCGAGCACCACGAATACGCAGACCTCGAGGACGACCAGCGAGCTGCCTTCCCCAAGCACCAAGAGGACACCCTACCGGACAGCGGGGATAGCTCACATCGATACACAGAGAGGCCCGAATTGCTGGAGGGGTGGAGTGCGCCAGCACTCGGCCGGGACCAGATGTCGTCCTTTACGGGCCAGCCCAGCATCAAGGGCAGGAATGAGTCCATTCGCATGATGCTGCTATGTGCCATCCACTTTGGCATCACATTCACATGGTACGGCTTCCCCGTGGTTACATTGTCCACCTTCCACGCCCCGACCCCATAGGGCATCTGCGACTACCGCTCCGCAGACGTGGCCTCAGAGGTACGATGCCCACGTCTGAGGAGCACGGTGACAGCACCTGGGGCCCTTCATTGACGCGGAACTTTCCCTCCCCGTTGCAAGCAGACGAATGTTCCCGCTAACTGCAGACCAAGGGGAGTCGAGATGACGTACTGCACACCATATCTCCTCAACCTCGGATTAACAAAGAGCCAAACATCGGTGGTGTGGATTGCAGGACCACTGAGCGGCATCATCACACAACCGATCGTCGGTGTTCTGGCGGACTCAAATAAGTCAAGATGGGGACGGAGGAGGCCGTACATCTTCATCGGAACCATCATCGTCTCCGCATCGCTCTTGCTACTGGGATGGACAAGAGAGATTGTCGCATGGCTGCTTCCCATGGAGAGCGACTTCAGAAGGAAGTTTACTATCTTCGTGGCCGTGCTGGCTTTATATGTGACAGACTTCGCTATCAATGCAGGTAGGTGCCGCACTAATTGACTGCACTGTCTGCTCCGGGCTAATGACAATACATCGCCAGTTATGTCGTGCTCAAGGAGCCTCCTCGTGGACACTCTGCCCATCGCCAAACAGCAGACCGGCGCTGCCTGGGGAGGAAGGATGGGTTCGTTCGGGCACATCGTAGGATACGCAATCGGCGCCATCGACCTGCCCGGGACCTTCGGGCCACGCCTCGGCGACACCCAGTTCAAGCAGCTCACCCTGATCGCCTCCATGAGCATGCTTTTCACAGCGGGCGTGACCTGCTGGGCCGTGACGGAGAGGGTGCTCGTCTCGGTGCGGCAGGACCCCAGCCGCTCATCCGAGGGGCGCTTCAAGGTCATCCGCCAGATCTGGTCGACACTCATCGATCTCCCGCCGCGCATCCAAATCATCTGCTGGGCTATGTTCTGGGCATGGATAGGATGGTTCCCTTTTCACTTCTACGGGAGCACTTGGGTGGGCGAGACCTACTTCCGCTACGATGCTACCGCAAACGCCGCCGCCGAGGGCAGCACGCTCGCACCATCTGATGCGCTGGGTGACATGGGCAGGATCGGAAGCTACACCCTCACCATCTATTCCTTCATGACCTTTGCCGGTGCCTGGCTCTTGCCGTTGGTCGTGCGCGCCCCTGAGGACGAGAAGTTCACCCACCGCCCGCCTGCGAGCATCGCGAATCTGGTGGAGGGGTTCAGCAAGCTGAAGCCAGACCTGCTCACAGTCTGGCAGTCGGGCCACCTGATGTTCGCTTGTGCCATGTTCCTCGCCCCGTTTGCCAAGAGTTTCCGATTCGCCACCGCTCTTGTTGTCTTCTGTGGAATCCGTAAGTAATCACTTTCCCAACCCCCCTCCCAGCTTCTCAAGCTGCTTGTATTTTCGTTGTGCAATTCAGGAGGATCATTCACTGACAATTCCACAATTGTAGCGTGGAGTATCGTTTCGTGGGCCCCGACTGCAACGATGGGAATGGAAGTCAATAAACTCAGCACCGCCGACATGAATACCTCTTATCGCCGCCTCTCCAACGCCGACTCCGTCCAGCTTTCGACGATCCACCTCGAGCATGGTGCCCACGAAGACGGCACTGATGGCAACAGTGGGAGCACAGGGGAGCTGTCTGGTATCTACTTTGGAATTCTGAACAGTAAGTCACATTCCGGCAGACACATCCCCACAACCTACCCTTGTTGCACCCCTCGCTATCTGTACTAGTTCGGAGGAGAACAGCTTTGCTAACACAGACAAACAGTCTACCAGACAATTCCGCAATTCATAGGATCATTCATCAGCACCATCGTCTTCAGCATCCTCGAGCCGGGCAAGAGCCCGGAGCTCGCGACCGACGCCCACCCCAGCGAGCACCACTCCACCACCGGGCCCAACGCAATCTCGGTGTGCCTGTTCATCGGAGCAATCGCCGCGTGCGCCGCCTTCGTGGCCACAAGGAAGCTGAAGTATACGCCCTGAAGTATCGGTACTCTTTGCTGTGTTTGAAGGGTGGGCGGGGTGAAGCAGGTCGATATACGAGTAGATTACCAGAGAGGTGCCTTTGTGTTTGTGGGTGGCTAGAAGAAAGCGAGGCCTCTCATTGTGAAACTTTGAGAGGGCAAGATACCCCGGGTGAGGATGTGAATAGGGTACACACACAATGCGTACAGGTGGAAGGGCGGCAGCAGTACGGATTGATTATAGAGGCAACTAGGGAAGCAAGGCGTACGGTGGTCATTGGAAAGGTCTCTTCTTGTTATCCCTTGCTCCTTCATCTGCGAGTTCTGTTTCCAGGGGCAGGGCGGCTAGGCGGCGTTCGTGTACCAGGGGCTGGCTAGCTTGGAGGCGTTTTCATTTTGAGGTCGCAGTGGTTCCAAAACCTAGACTAGGGTGTTTAGATACTATTATACAAGATGCTGGAAAGCATCGTGCAGTAGTGTGTCTTGCTCAAGTTTATCCCAACCGGAAGGTGTTTGAGTGGACTTCATTGATCTATGTGCTTCACGGAAAGCGTACCTAGATGCGTTTAGCAATCTAGATAGACATTTGTCCCCTCAAGTCGGTCTTGATGTTATTTTATTACATTGCTAGATATCTATCTACGTCCTGAAAATCAAAGTCGAAGCCTCCTCCTTACCTGCCTGCTGTGCTGTCGAACAATCCAACGGTCTCCAATGGAGATCAGCGCCCCACACCAATCAGTCATTGCTTCCATCGAAAGCGCAATAAGTCAAGAGTGTACAAGTTCGGTTGGGATATCAATCTGATTGTCTTGTGTGTATGAGAAATGTCCATGGGTATGCGCAAGCAACGCCAAAGCAACCAACCCCTCCCTGCCTGACCAGAAGTCTGTGCATGCAGTCACCAGTAGGGATATCAACCAAATATCTTCAGCGCACAAAGACAAGGGCATGTCCAAAGGCCCACAGCAAAGCTCGAATCGAAGGGTCGAAAGGGAAAAGCCCATCCCAGAGTCAATTACAAAAGAGACCTAAAGTCGTATCAATTCCCAGCCCCCAACGCCCTCAGTATATCGGTCTCGAGCCCGGCTCGTCCCACTTCTTATGGACAGCAGATCTATCAACAAATAGGGTCTCGTCTCCAAGCTCTGTATCGCCAGGGCTTTGTGACCTCCGCCCGATCCTCTTCCTCCGGCCGCCGGTCTCGCCAGCCCCACTAGGGCCGATCCACTCCCACGCGCGGCCGATCTCTCCGTTGACGCCCTCCCGCTGGCCGGTTCGTACATTAGAGTTCTGCTCAATCACCGCCTTGACACGCTTCCAGATCCGCTCACGCTGAGAGATCGAGTGCACGGCTCGCAAAACATCATCTCGTAAGTGCGGCAGGAAGAGGAAAGTGTCAACCTCGCCGTCATCGTCATACGCCAGCTCCTTCTGTGCCGACAGCCTGTCCAGGACCAAGTCAACCAGGCCGGGAATCTGGGCCGAAATGGCACGATGCGTCCTGTACTTGGAACGGCCGTAAAGCGCCGACAGAATGGAGAGGACTACTGAAACAATGCTGAGTCGATGTCGTTCCAGTCCGAGGCGGACGGAGCGGCGGGCTGCGCACCCGAGCGGAAGGCGAGCGAGAGAGGTGGACGCCAGGTAGGTGTCTGAAACGGCTCCGGAACTGGAAGAAGTTCTGGATCGAAGACAGGTCTGGTTAGTGGGGCTTTGGTCAGAATAAAATCTCTTAAACTTGTTTTTGGACTTCCGCAAACTTGAGAGGAATGAAGGGGGTATTTGCTCTCAGGGCTTGCCTCCTGCTGCGTCCATGGGACGAAGCCTGAGACAGAGCCTCATGGGGAAATTGGGGAATCGATAGGAATTGAACTTACGGTGGTGCTGGCTCTTCCTTCTTCTCCACCACAACTTCATCCCTCTGCTCGATCTCACCAAGCGCCGCGACCCACAAGTCATCGAATTCCTTCTTGCTGAGTTTCTTGCTCCGCTTCTCGCTGACGGTCTCCTTCAGCTCCTCCGCTGCGACCATGGGGTTCTCGGGCTGCTGGCCGTCTTCATTGACAAGCTCACCGCATTCGAACTTGGCCTTTCGCTCCCGAAGTTCCTCCACAGCCTTGTCCGCGACAGCCTTGACACGCCGAAGCTTCTCGCTGTCAGCCTCACAAGTAGGTGGGAGTGGGATGAGGCCGTTGGCAGACAAAGGGTGAGGCTTCAGAATGAAACCCTCATCGCATCGCACGGAGTGGTCGGCGTAGCAGTAAGCGTGAGGTGGGCAAGGCTCGCATTCAGGCTCGGCGAATTGGAATGCCCACTCCGGCACGTCGAACTTGAAGTCTTTGTACTCCAGATGCCGAGGAATGATCTCTTGCGCAGGCCTGCCAGCTCCACAGTACCCAACGGCGATCTTCTCTTGTCGATACCAGGCTCCGTAAGCCCCGAGCAGGACGGTGATGAGGAGCCAGAAGGGTGTAGCCAAATTGGTTGATCTCCTGGGCTGGCGAGCAGGCACGACAGCCGTCTGTGCCCTGAGGGCGTCCTCCTGCGCGAGGACAAGCTGCTCGTCAGGTGTGAACTCCTCGCCGGCCTCGACCTCCTCAAACACAGGCTGAGGAGTGACAGGTGTCTTGGGGCGCGAGACGGCGCTCACGGGTACGGCAACCGAGTTCGAGTAGCCCGTAGACTCGCGTGTGTCGTCCCTGGGACCGTCTGTCCGTCTTCTAGTAGAGGATGCAGTGGACTTCTTTGCAGTGGAGTCCAGGCCACCGGTCTTTCTCCGGTTGGATGGGGTAGCCATGGGGATTGGAGAGCTACCGCTCTGGAAGGGGTTGTCGCTGGTGAAGACGGTCCCGGGCTCGGTGGACTGTCTCTCGTAGACAGTGGTGTCGTCGTCGGAATACTCTCTCTTGACCTCTGGCTGCGGTGTGAGGTCTGGCTGGCGGGAGGGCTTGCGTGTGGAGCGCCTGCCTTCGTAGTGGCTGTCGGTGTCTGTGTCTGACTGAGGAAGCTGCCGGCTAGCGGATCGCGCCTGACGTTTCCTGGGGCTCAGAGAGCGCTCCACAGGTAGATGGTCAGGCTCCTCGGAAGACTGCTTGAAGCTCCTGGTGGCCTTGCGGGGAGAAGCGGCTCTCCGCCTTGCGCTGGGGGGCGGGGGCATGTCCTGGTTCGCAACCGAGTAGCCCTGGGAGCCGTCTATGTTTGTGATGCCCATGCTGGACCGTTTGGCCTTCTGGCGCTGAGCCAGCAGCTTCCTCGCTCGAGGAGCGACGGTGTCGTTGAAGATTTCGACGAGCTGCGCCTTCTTCGCGGTGGCAGGGTAGGGGACATTCTGGCTGACGAGGATGGAGCGCAGGCGCGGGATGGTGACCGAGGCAGGCTCGAAGTCGGGCTGCAGGTAGTCGACCTCGCTGTCGGACATGGTTGCGGTTTTGATGGGTGTTTCTGCTGAAGACGTCGATGGGCAGAGGACAGATGTGCGCGAACTCGTGCTCGAGCCCCAGAGGTGATGCAGATGGAAATGATAAAGATGAGGAGGTAGAGAGACTAGCTGATGGGTGGACAATGCTATCTCGCCCCAAGGTTCAAAGCGCTCAACAGCTGTCAGCTGGACCGTGACCTAGGCTTGATGCGGATGACGGCATCGGCGGGCCAGGTGCGACCGTGTGATAGGGCGAGGGGAACACGTAGCGTGGGCTGGCAGCTGCGTTGGTGATAAGGATGAAACCAGCAGCCCTTTGTTGACGGCAGAGCTCGGCAGAGAGGAAAGTCTTCTAGAAGGGCAGAGCCGGCAGACTTTTGTCTCTGCTGGACTGGCAGACTGGTGTGTATGTAGATGGATGGATGCGCAGTGTGCCCTGGCGTGTGCAGTGCAAGAGGAAGAAAATGCGCCAGGTGGAGTCGGGTGGGGTGGTAAATAAAGCCTTCGCCTGATGCAGTAATTAGTGGTGCCCCCCGAGGCCCCGTCCCGTTGGCCGGGCAAGTGGCGACAAGGGGCGTATTCCTGTCAGACTGTAGGTAGGGGTGCCTCGAGAGAAGTGCCTGGATCCCTTGGCAGTCAAGCCACACCCTGCCTCCTCCGTGTTCCGGGCGGAGTGGCGACTTTTGTTCCCGGCCCCCAGGCTGCCTCTCCACACCTCTTTGACTACGATGTGGACCATCTCTGGACTGTCTTGTCACAATGCTCTCAATATTCATGTTTACTGTATCTTATCACCTTGATCGCTTGGACTGCAATGAGTGGAACGAGTGTGTGGACGGTGCCTAGAAGACAATCCTTTATTCTTTTATGCCCTTTTTTTGTTGTAATTTTTTCTTTTTCTCCATCCCCGAGCAATAACTGATATTGTACCCGCGTGTTTCACTCCTACCCATAACGCCTTGTATACCTTACCGTAGAAAACGACCGTCGTGTCCAAGTACTGAAGATCGTGAAAATGTCATGATTCGTTTCTGTGTGCGACGAAATACATGCTCTCGGCCTCGTGGCCTCTGACTCCTCTGTTGCCTCCCAATACAGGCTCCCTCCCTGGCTGGACCACTGCCTAGGCAATGTCAACCTTCCGGACCTCGGTCCACCCGCGCTCGACCTTGGGAACAGTGACAACCAGCACGCCGTCCTCCATCTTAGCAACAATGCCCTCAGCATTGACCTCCTCCTTGCTGTCGCCCTTATCCTGGCCCGCTGGCGGGAGGCCCACCTCGCGGGAGAACAGCCCAACGGTCCTCTCCCCGCTAACCAGACCGCTGATGAACTCCTCGTCGCCGGGACGGTGCACTACGCCGCTGACCGACAGCATCGACCGGTCGGCATCCCAGTTGACGCCCACGTCCTCCTTCTTGGCGCCCGGGAGCGCAAAGTGCAGAACCCACCTGTCCGGCTGCTCGAATAGGTCCACTGGCGGTGTGAACGAGTTGTCGTCGGCTTCGTCGCCGGAGCCCTCGCCCGCTCCGCGCGTCCTGTTGTTGTTGGCGCCCTGGGCGCGCTCGAGGAATTCACGCATGCGCTGCGCGAATGGGTGACCCGCTAGTGCGGCAGCCCAGGGACCGAAGTCGAGCGGCGAGCCTGCTCCTGGCCCATCGCGGCCGTGGGGGCCATGTGGTCCATGAGGTGGCGGTGGTGGGGGAGGGGGTTGGTGAGGGTGTCCGTGAGGACCAGGGCCATGCGGACCGGGCCCAAACAGTCCCTGGAGGAAGGGAGGGAAGGGAGATGCAAGGCCGTGAGGACCCTGTGGACCACCGAAGAACCCACCGAAGAATGGAGGCGGAGGGGGACCGTGGTGACGAGAGCCGCGACGGTGGTGATCGTGGTGACCAAAGCCTCCAAAACCTCCACGGCCACGACGACCTCGGTGCCCACAGCCTCGCTGTCGTCGGCCACTAGACTCATCCGGAACCTGCTCGGGCGGGTCGTCTGCAGCAGGCTCATCCCTCGCCATAGTATCGGGGCTGCCCACGTCCATCTCGGCCCTGTCTTTCTCCTTCTCCCTCTGCTCCTTGTCTTTCTCGCCCTCTGCTACAGCAGCAGCGACCTCGTCGTCTGTGATGTACTCAGGAGGGAACGCCTCGTTGTCGGAACCGTCAGGGGTGTGGGCATCCGAAGCGCCGCGGGCGTGTCGCCCACCAGGTCCACCGCGAGGTCCATGTCCTCCGCCTCTGCGTCCGAATCCGGGGCCATGACCGTGGCCATGACGACCGTGGGGACCAGGGCCCCAAGGGTCCTGGTTCCAGTCCTCCCAGCCTCGCGACTGTACCCAGCGCTGCCAGAACTCGGGGCTGTTGAAAGCAGTTTGGCCGGACGGGCCCGGGGGAGCGCGGTCGACGCCAGCGCCAGCATTGTCTTGCATGTTCCAGTTGAAATTTCCTGGCCAAGCCATATTGCCGGTCTTTACCTTTGTGTGTTCAGATGTGATGATATACTGTATTCAACGCTTGTTTGTAACAGTGGAATGATCAAACGATCGAATGTGATGAGAATGATGGTGAATGGTGATGATGATGATAGAAGAGAGCAGGATGGGAACAGGGCCAGTGGTCTGTCACGATTATATACAGATCAATGGGCATGTGAAGTAGCTGTAAGGCAAGATCGAATGCGTAACACAAATACGCACTCCGACGCTCGCCTAGTCCCCACGCCCGACACGCCACCAGTCAACCCCCGGGGCAGGGAGGGACCTTACCTGTCTGCCCACGCAACCAGGCAGACTATGCGAGACTTACTTACACAGGCCGGGAGGCGAATTACCAGCTTCCCCATAGTTCTCGGTTCGAGTGAGACGGTCGAACCATGCGCCGCGCCACAGGCAGTCCGGGATGGGATGTGTGACACACTTCCCGCCCTAGCCTCCCCAATCACAGGCGGCCAGGCCTACGTAACGCCCTGCACACCCCAAGGCATTTCGATCGTCTCAGAACGCCGCAGAATAAACAAGAATAAGAGACTGGCATGACTGGGACTGGCAGCTTCTGGAAAGTGCAGGAAGAACCGCACTGCTTGCCCTCGCCACGCGTACCCCTGGGGACGCGTGGCCGGGGGCCGAGGAGTCATACAGCAAGCACATGTGCGTCTTGCCTTTTAAAGTCCTGAAGCGGTGGGAAGTGGACGTTGGAGGCAGCCGGGAGCTTGTCAGGGCGGGTGGGGTTTGCGCCACAACTGGCCAGCATTGCCCGTCGGCGGACACGGCTCGGCTCCGACTACCTAGGTATGAGTCCGAGACAGTTTGCGTGCGCCACACTGGCCCGCCCGTTACGCATGCTCGGTGATAGATACCAACCGACGACCGGTCGCATTATCACTACACGGGGCATTGATTGCACCGCTTCATGTCTGAAGCTTAGTTGACAAGGTTGCAACGAGAAAGGTGTCAATCTTGCATGTACATCACATATATCACACATTATCTGTGAGCAGGGGGGCTCACTCGGACGGGACACCGGTTCAGCAAAACCATCTAACAATTGCAGGAGAATGCCCATGTTCCGTTATTAAGGTCAATATGGCTTATTGTGTTTTTTCTTCTGGCTTGTCTTTGGACATGGCCATTGTCAGGGCATTCGACTCGATATTTGAACTGCAAGACGAGATTATCACGGGGTATATAGTGTGCCCCGAAGCCGCAATCGTTCAGTGCTCGCTTCAGCAAGCAGGCCGCCAGTCAGCCTTCCCGAACCCCAACGCACCCGATTGTAAATGCTAGACCTAGATCACCTCCTCTGGTCCTTCCATGGGAAATGTGACGCATCGTTCCTTGATGTATTTGTGACCACAACTCAGCACGAGAGCCTCCCAGCAGTAGCAACAGGCCACACGCAAGTGAGCACCAAGCCCATGGATACCGTGGACCTTCTATGCCCGCCTCGAAACGCCAGGACATTACAAACTCGGTCGCCACATTAAGACGCGATCGTGCCTTCCTTCTCCTTCTCCTTCTCCTTCTCCTTCTCCTTCTCCTTCTCCTTCTCCTTCTCCTTCTGTAATTTTTTCTCCGCCAGCTCGGCTCGTTTGTTTGCCGCTTCCACTTCCTGCTTCAGCTGCTTGATATAGTCGATGGCTAGTTCGACGGTGCTCGCCTTGCTGTTCGGGCCCCCGCCGTTTTTAGAGTCTTTCTTGTCACCGCTTTCTGCTCCGCTGTCCTTGCCTTCAGGGACGACCCCATTCGGCAACAACGTCGCAATTTCTTGCAGCGCCGAATTGATTCGGTTCCGCCTGCCTTGCTCAGCAATCTTGTGTGATGTCCGCTTCGAAGTCAGGTTGGTGGACAGCTCGCTTGGGTATGACACTCCAGGCACCATATTGCCCTCCAGGATGTTTTGGTAATTTGATTTGGATGCCAAGAGCTGCGACGCCGAGTCCTCTGCTCTTAGTCCTCCAGGCAGTAGTGGCTTGATGCTGGGTGAAATCCTTGGCCGCAGTGCAGGGGACACGTGGGATGAGCTGATGCTGGCCCTCTTTTTCCCACTGCGCGGTGCAAGCTGCGGTGTTTTCCTCGGATTCGGCGTCGTCGCAGAAGATCCCGGCGTGAGCTGAGGGCTCTGGCTTGCCGAGGCTGCTGCGCCTGGCTTAGCGAAAACCGGCGAAGGCAAGGGTTGGAAGGACGAGGCCGTTCCCGAGGGCGTCTCTGCGGCCGGCGGGCGTATCCGTGGCGACTGCGTGGTCAGGGGTGCCAGGTTCGGCTTCTTGAACGTACTTGAGCTCACCGACTCTGGTAGCTCGAAATTCTCGATGTTCTCCGACGCCATAGGATCGGAGCCGGCCGAAGTGTTCGACTTGTTGGCATTACTTGGGGACGGTAACCTCATCAAAGAGGCTGGCGTAGCAGGTGAGGGCTTGCCTGTGGGCTGTGGAACTGCGGTCGGGGCCATAGTTGGAGTCGCATTACTTTGTGGCTGTAAGCACGGGGAGGGCTTCGCCGATTTCGTCTTGGGCAAAGGTGGAGGAGGCATCTCCGACAGTGCCTCTGGGGAGACAGAATCATTTTCCGAATCAGTGATTCCTGTGGTGGATGAGTTTGAGGCGAATCCGCTTGGCTCCGTCTGTCGCGTCTTCTTCGAGGGTCGTGCCTGTGGCTCCGCAGGCTTGTCGGCCTGTTCAGTCAGCTCACTCAAGGTCTGGGCGTTCATCAGTGGCGTCGCCCCAGTCTTCTTCCGTTGCGGTTTCGTGATGGGTGATTTCCCAACGCTCGCTCTGGCCCTTGTCTTCGCAGCGTTGGTCTTCCTCCCCTTCTTCGCCAAATCATTGGAGACCGGCCCAGTCGATGGAGGCTGGTTTCCTTCCAAATCCATCCCCTCAGGAGAGCTCGTGGTGGTGGCAGTGGTAGACAGACCACGTTCGAACATGGCCATGGGGTCAGACTGAGCATGCAATGCTGGCGACGTGAGTGGACTGAAATACGCGTTGGGAACGGTGAATGCCTGGTCCATGGGAAATTGGCTCTCAAGAGGTGTGACTGCCGGAGATACCAAAGGAGTAAATGACATCTGGAGAGTGGTCAGCAAAGCGCAGAAGGAAAAGAGGTCAAGTGACACGCACGTCTTGCTGTTGCTGCTCCTTCATCCTCTGGAAACGCTCGAACATATCCTGATGCTGATGCTGCTGAGCGGCCCGGTCTGGCTGTGCAGTGTAGAACTGATGATTGCCAGCCTGTATCTCAAGGCTTTGCGGAGTGGGCGGGACCATGCGGCTCTGCTGTTGGGCAAAGAAGGCGGCCTGCTGCTCCTCCAACTGCCTCTGTTGCTGTTGCAATTTTTGCTGTTGCAAGAATTGAATCTGTGCGTCAATGTCCGAGATGGCGTTCACAGACGTGGCCGCGGACATCATGTTCGAGGGTATCGTGGGGTTCGAAGGGGCGGTCGTCATGGGATGCATTTGGTTGTGCATGGCTGTCGACAGGAGAACCGACCCATCGGTTCCACTCATGGGCGTGTCGAGTGTCTCACGGTGTGCGACTTGCATCATGCTTCCCCCATTCGGATTCTGGAAGTCACCGAAGTCGAACTGCAAGCCCTCAGAAAGACTGTCCATGCTGTTCATATTGAGAAACTGCTGGAAGTCATCTTCGGCGCCGGGATGCATGGGGTGGCCTTGGTCGTTCCATCCTGCGGACTCCATCATGATCACAGGTTTGCTAAGTCCCAGAGCCTAGACAATTGGCGCCCAGGTGGTGACAGGCCCTCGAATGAGTCTTGTGTAGGACGACAGTCAGTAGGAAAATATCTCACAGCCTGTTGCGCCGATGGCGTGCGGAATCCTCCTGCGCTCAGGGTCTGGGCTTGGCTGTCGTCGCTGGTGGAGAAAGCCGGGGCGGCGCAAGAGGGGCGGCGCAAGAGGGGCGCCAGGTTTGCGCTGCGCAGCTGCGACGAAACAGGAGACAAGAGAAGAGAGGACACGACAGGGCCAGAGGGCGGGATAATGTCGACGCAGTCACCCAGCACGCCGTGCGTCGCCACGAGCAACGCCTCGAGGCGCGAGGGAGACGGTGAGTCGGTCGAATTGTCGCAAAGCCTTGAGCGTGGGGGACCTGGGCTGCGCTGAGGGTCGGTGTTGCTGGGCGGACCGAGGGTCTGATTGGTGGTGCAGTCTCAAGGTTGCGTAACTCAAAGGCTATCTCATTGGGCCAGGTGACGGGTGTAAGTCTTATCGATTCGACTCGACGCGGATCAGACCTCGGGGCGCTGAATTGTCGCCGCCAACTTTGGGAGTGTTGGGGAGAATTGTTGTCGCGCAGAGGTAAGCCCGCTGGCAGGCAGGCAGGCTGGCTGGTTGAGGGCGAGGATGAAGTGAGTGCGAGAGCAAAAAAGTTGTCCGCGGAGGATCGTCGGGAGAAGACGGCGGGGACAAGTGAGGAGCCTGGGAAGATTTGGCGCAAGAACGGAAGGCGGTTGCTTGTTCTGGTGCCGCAGTGGTGCGGGTACGGCTCTAGGAGCAGGGAGCAAGGTGCATGTGCGATGGCGGATCTTGGGTCGACCTGTCAAGGGTCTCTCGCTCGAGGGTGGGGGCTGCACGGGGTACTGCCTAAGTGTGGTAGCAGGTACTCCGTACCGTGCCTATGCACAGCCAGCTGCCCAGGCCTACAGCATCGCCATCTGAGAACCATCTGGGCACAATCTGGGCACCTTCTTGACATCGAACGTACTAGACTACACGTTTGGTACCTACCTGCCCAAGTATCTAACAGCACCCAGGCCCTGGCCGTCACGAGCTGCTGCAAGGTGGGAGGGTGGGGGGTGGGGGACGGTCAAAGGCGCCCGCTAGCGACAGTTAAAGTCCTGCAGAGCACCCGCTGATAGGCGACCGTCTGGAGGCTTGTTGCCAAAAACCCCAGCCATGACCTCGACGATGTCCATCCCTGATTCAGCTGATGACCTCGCTGCTCTGCCTCCACACTCAAACTCCCACGGAGCAATTCCCTAAGCTGGTCCCCTCGTTGCACACCATACGAGATCGGCAGTGGCTTTGCCTGCTGTTTCTCCCAGTTCCCAGCTTCATGCATACCGAGTGTGATGTACTGCCTCGCCTGCACGGCAGGAAGTGGTTTGCTGGTCGTCTGTTAGTTTTAATCACATGTTTTTGGTAAAATCATCGTGGCATTGATTTGGATCGTGTCGAGTGGAATTGGTCGAATTTATCCGCACAAAACTTTGAGCTCTTCCAGTATGGACACATTCTTTGGCGCCAGGACCATCCTTGACTAGAACACAACTCTAGCAGCCGGTGCGCCGTGCCCAGTGCCAATCCTTGCATGGAATACCCCGACATCCGAGGTCGTTCCGAGTCGAGTTTTCATCTCGCACGCGAACTTGTCGTCAAGGATGAAGCCAGTGGAAATGACTGGCAGCCGGCCCAGCAGCCTGGAATGCTCCCTGACAGTGATCCAGACCGTCACCGCCAACGGACAAATCAAGCATCAGCTTCTCCGGGGGTATACACAACAGGAGACTACCCTAGAAAGTCGCGATGAGGGGTTGCCAAGAACCCGCGGCAGCCATTACGAACTTCAGGCGCGGCATGAAGAGTATGCGGCCTGCTGCCTCCTCGAGTCACGACAACAAAACCATGACGGAACTGCCCCTTCAAACCAAGACTGCAGCGCACATCAGCGCCAGACTCAGGAGCGCAGTGCCATGCTCGTCATGGTGCACACCCGGTCCCAAATTTACACCTGGCCCAGCTAGACCACTGTGGCTCGGTTAGCAGACCGAGACTTTAAGCCGGCGCGGCATGCAGACCGATGCCTTGACATGACGAAACCCCCACGACTGACGGCCGTCTGTGGGGGGCTCAGAAGCTTTCTGGACCTGCAGACCACATTGTCAGGCTGGTTGGCCATTTGGTGAACCCACCTTCTTTATTTCCAGCTTACATGACGAGAGCCTCACCTGACCCAACCACTGACAACAGCAAGCAAGCCATCGTCTGTCGACATCACACGGGGCACTTCCCAACCTTGGTCCTGATCTGCTAGCACTTCTGTCCGCAGGGTGATCAGGCTATATGGAAGAGAACGGATAGTACACAGATATCTCTTCAATAATATTCCCCTAGCTGATCAGAGCATAACACCCACACCCCATTTCCAAACCCACACATGATTTATGTATCAATATTTACTAGGCTTGGGCATATGAATCAGGTGTAGGTATGTTAGTTATAGGTATATTGATTATGGGTGTGTGGGTGTGTGGGTTATGGGTGTATTGGTGCGTTAGGTGTAGGTGTGTTCGGTGTAGGTGTTGGGTCTGGGTATACTAGGGGTGTAATGTATCTGTATCCGATCAGTTTCGTTCTGTGCGAATATCCGTTCTCATATGGAATAGTGACAGCTGTCCCAGCACAACATTGCTATGGAAGCGAGACGGCGAGGCCATTTCATGGCCGAGGGGCTGTCAAGCCATGCCATACATCGGTCAGGCTTCGAACACTTGCGACCCATCAACCGCGATTATCCGTCGGCTTCAAGGACGCCGACAAAGTCTTCCTGCCACCCAGCCACCACTCGCGCCGGCTTGAAGTCGTAAAACTACCGGTGTGCCGCAGACTGTCTCTCGCGCTAGAGAAGACAGTGCCGGTAGCCGATGCAGAATCGACCCGGGCCTTGTACCGACTTTCAGGCTATATGGTCTGGGAGCATGAACATGTCAACCCCTCTAGAACGTAAGCGCGCCGCCGGGCCCAAACAATCGTGGCGGGCTAGTCCTGCGGTGAGAGAGGCCGCCTTGCCGCGATACGCACATAATTTGAGCCCGATCTGGCGCGGACGCCTGTAGCAGCAGTAGTCCTGCCCGTGAGACTAATAAGACAGTTGAGAAAGGAGTCTGTAGCAAAGGCAGGTAGACATCCCTTGGTAGGATGAAGAACATGGCAAGCACCCAAGATTCGAAGTGTATAACTTGTGATCCTTGGAAATGCAGTAATACCACGTATTCACCCGAAAACTAGAGCTTAGAACATGACTCCCAAGATCACATCTAAATCACTGAAGCTGTTCAAGTCGATCTGCTAGGACACATCTCTTGTTAAGTGCGAGATTCTATTGCTACCTAGACAGCAAAAAAAGGTGGATCGGCCGAGCTATTAATACACAATCGGCTTGCTATTCACTCTCTGTCTCACTGTCTTGGATGGCCCGTCGCCTTCTCTTGTGCGCAGCTGGTCTGATCCGAACATCGCCGTCTTCTCCATCAGAGTCCGATAGTAGCAATCGTCTGCTCTTCGGCTTTGTTGTCTTCGATCCACCCATCTGGCTCATGCTCGGCATGTCCTCCTCGCTGCCCTGGCTTTGCGTTGTTGTCAAAGCATCATACGTCTTTTTGCCCCTTGGCTCCGAGGTCTGTGAGGGGAGAAGCGGCGATGTAGCCGTGGGTGACGTCGACGCGCCTCTCACACTCGAAATGGGATCATCGTCGCCAACAACGAAGTCTAGCAAGTCAGAACCGTCATCTGAGTCGTCTCTTTCATACAGTTGGCTGGTCCTGGTGCAATCATCTCCGAAATCTTCAACAAAGTCAATGCTTTCTTGCGGCTTGCCCGTTCGACGGCTCTTTGGCTTGAACCTCGATTTTGATATCTCTGGCACCGCTTCAAATCCACCCTTTTCAATGTCATCGTCGGCGAAGGGGTCGCTGTCGAAGTCGTCCTCTGCATCACGGTCGACAAGCGCTGTGCCCTTAGATCGCTGCTGCGGTGCACCATTGACCTTGGGGCCACACTTTCTCCGCTTTGGAAGTGACGGCTTTCTCGAACCTGAAGGAGACAAGGTCCTCTTGTACGATGAAGACCCAGTTGCTTCAGAATGCACATCTTCGCCATCGGAATCATCTGCGAAACCTGGAACAGAAAGCTCCAAGTAACGTGATTGATCAGTCTCACCGTAAGGCTGATGGTACAAGTCCAGAGACGACTGCGAGTTGGCTAGCCTCTTGAAAAGCCTCACACAGCGCCTCGTATGTCTTCCATGCTGAAGCCTGACATTCGGGCCAAGTTTTCGCTGTGCCTTTGGATGTCCAGTCAAATCGGGTCCCATGATATCCTCCTGCGATGCATGCTTGGATGGCAGGTTACGGTAAGTATCGTCTAGTTCATCCATTTGAAGGGGGTCTAGAAGTACCGCGTCAAGACGAGGCACCTCCGCCAGCGCATCGATTTCGAGTGGCTGTTGAGCCCGAGACTTCGTGCTAGGCGCATTGCGTCCAAAGTTCGAGGCCTTCACAAACCCCGTGATCACCCCGTCAGGCATGTGGAACTTTTTCTGCGTCGCCTTTTTGCGTGGTGCGGAGGCTTTCTTCGGTTCTGGCAGCGTCTTGTTCTGAGTGTTCTCGATCGGTATTTCAACCAAGCGCATGTCCACTTCTGGCTTGATGTCTCTTGGGATGATCCTCGAAGATAGGTCGTTTCGAAAATTGAAGCGAGTGCCTTCGCAGATGAACCTCTGCATCTTTTCATAGTTGTCCTTCGCTTTCCTGAATTGTTCTTCCTCCCTGCCTTTCATCAAAAGCAATGTGATGTTTCCAGCACGTTTTCTGCCAGTCCGTCCCATGCGTTGCAGCATACGTATTGGTGACGCTGAAGCATCGTAGCAGACAATCAGGTCGACCTGACCGATGTCCAGGCCCTCCTCTCCAATCGAGGTCGCGACGAGGACATTGAACTGTCCGGTTCTGAACTTTTCGATCGTCTCTATTTGCTGTTTTTGTTTCATTCCTTCACTTCGCTTCGAATCTGCTTGGCCGACGAATATGGAGGCTTTGATCATAGGCTGGTGCTTGTTCAGCGTGCGAACGATTTCCTCGGCGCTGTCCCTGTACTCGCTGAAAACGATGGCTTTGGTGTTGGACTCCTGGCCTGCGTCCATGAAATGGTTTAACAGATTCTCGCATAGGTATGAAAGCTTTGGGTGGCCTACGAAACCATCAATCCTCTGCCACTTGTCGATTGTATCCATCATCTCCTGGAAATTGGCATCCTCAAGGATTTGTCGTTTGTACTTGGAACCTTTTGCTCCTTTCTCTTCGGTCTCCGACCTGAAGTCCAGCATTTTGTGATAGAATGGCGCAATTCCATGGAAGTTCAGCAGCTTTGTGGCATGCGCCAGACTCTGCAAAATGGTGAATACGCTCATCATCATGAACTTTGTGCCTGGGTTTGCGTGCTTTCCAGCTCCGAGACCCCACTGTCTGGCCGATTCCCGAAGCCCCATCACGGTCATCGACATCGGATCTCGCGCCACCCACTTGTTGGCCTGAGCGAGTTTGTTGCACAGGGGTTTTAGTGTTTTAGAGAAGAGGTCTTGCACTTGCAGCATTTCATCCGATGGCTCCAGCACGACCTGGTCCACTTCGCGAGAATGAACGTACTGGCGGATATCGATCGATTCCTCCATCCGAATCTCAACAGTTGAAATTCCCAGGCTGTCGATGACCGCCTGCACGCCTTCGACTGTGGAGCCTGGTGTGGCTGTCAGGGCGAGGATTCTAAAGCTGGGATTGAACCTCCGAATGAATTCAACGACCTTCACGTAGGCGTAGTCACCTGTTGCGCGATGCGCTTCGTCAATAACGAGGAGCACCACTGCCTTCGGATCAGCATATCCCTTGGACAGATCGTTCTGCAGAGTTTGTGGTGTCATGAAGAACAATCTCCTCTTGTCCCACTCGCCCTCGCGTAGAGCTGGTGAAATCTCGCCGGTCAAGAGTGTTGCTTGTGATCGAGGGATTCCGGCCACATTCATGCAAGCTTCAACCTGTTGTGCAGCAAGGGGCTTGGTTGGTGCCACGAAAATTATCTTGGCGGTCTTTGTCCAGCGATAGTAATTGAGCATGATGGTGGCCGCGATGAACGTTTTGCCTAGACCTGTGGGTAGAGCCACAAGGGTGTTGTTGAACAAGCCTTTTTTGACGATGCTGAATTGGTAATCCCGTGTTGGGCCCAAGTTGGTGGGATAGATCCAAGTCTGGAGAGCATTATGATCCAGAACGTGGTGAGTCGGGGCTTCCGGCGGCAGGTCAACTCGGTACACTCTCCTAGACTGGACCTGCGACGGGGGCGCCTCAATTTCTCTGACTGCGTCTCCCCAGAGGTTGGTCTGACGGTAAGTCTGGGACGTGTTGGCTTTCTGACCCTGGGTCGGCTTTGTTGGGCGAGACGAGGCGTGATGGGACACAGCTGCCCTAGAATGTACAGGCGAGCTCTCGAACGCACCAGAGGGGAAATCATCTAGACCCTCCAAATCGATGACCGCATCCGTGTTGCCGCCCGGCGCCCTGGACGGGGCCTTCGGCGCATTGTTCCTGCTCCCTGAGCTTAAGTTGACTGTGGGTTTATTTCCAGAAGCTTGGGTGAGGGCATTCGCGAGATCCTCGTCGGCAATGTCATCGTCAAAGTCGTCAAAGTCGTCGGAGTCCATCCTGGCTCGCAGTCCTGCCACTGGCTCGCAGTCATCCAGAGATGATCCCAGTGGTTGAGGGGCAGATGGTGGTTCCAGGTGTCAATACCAGATTGCATCAAATTCGGAGGCAACAATGATGGTTGGGACGGTTGACCTCGCGTCGCATGTCGCTCATCACAACTTCAACTCGCCATGATGCACAATCAGTAGAGCGATGGGATGAAGTCGATTGAACCATGCTGCAGAGCCGGCCACGCGACGCGTATCCCTGTTGGCCGAGTCACCGACGGCTGGCTCGAGGCGGCAAGCACGACTCTCACACCAAGTCACGGCCTACCTGCTAGCTACAATGGTTAGACTACCTGGCTCTAGCTTCGAGGTTGGTAGTACCTGGTTCTCAGCAGGGTAGCTTCCAGCAGGGGCTGGCAGCTCCCGAAGGGCCCTGACCACCTAGGATCTAACTTACCTGCCGCTTGCAGGCACCAGCAGTCAAGCTGACTCATCGGTGCCGCCCCGGCAAGGTCCCACCTGGGCAGCCTGATCGTCAGAGGCAGGTGCAGAAGTGGGTCCATCAACTGTCACTTGTAGCCTGCCGCAAACGATCAGTTTTCCTCCTTCCTCTTCCCAACCAGCTTCACTTCTATTGACCGAAACACGCCTCTGTTGCTCACTTCACCCGACAATAGGGAAACTGCGCATTTGCCAGTCCTAGGTGGATGGCCCCATTGTCTTTTATTCTACTTCCATTCTACGAGCCCCACCAAATAACAGACATCTGCGAACTGGTCACTCTGCTGAGTCCCATAAAGGCCCGAGGACCCCACGACGGTCCTAGCCTCCAGCCGCCTTTCTTTGACCAGCCTCACTCGTTCAGCTCTTTTTCGGTTGCGAACACGATCTCTTGCGACAGTCTTGTCAGTTCAACACCAACTCGAAGAAGATCCTCGCGCGACCAACCTTTTGCGTCTTTTGCGCATCGCACAACCCATCTCACATCTCGCCGCCGCCGCCATGCCACCACCAAACGGCCCTCGAGGCGGAAACGCCAACTCTACCCGACAGACTCGATCCTCCACTGCCACAAATCGCACGCCTCGAGGCGGCATTGCGCGGCGCGGCCGTGGTGCGCGAGGTGATCGCGATGGAGACGTCGATATGGACATCTCCGCTGGCAGCAAGCCCAGCAGATCTGGCGGCGGAATCAACAAGTCCTCCAACTCAACGCGCCGCGGTAATACCAGATCCTCCGCACCCCAGAATTCCAATACAAGACTCCAGCAGAACGTTGCCAAACACCTGGGTGGGGACACATCGCGCATCCCCAACGCGCCCAGCGCGGCCAAGATAGCAGCAAACAACACAACACTCATAGTGACGGGGCACAAGTCGAGCAAGGCTAGTTCCAATACCGACGGAGGAGTCAAGAGTCTGTTGCAGTTCCTGGAGAGAAAGGCGTCACAATTGAAGGGCTCTGGTCGTCCTGTTACGATTAAGAAGGTATGTCAAGGTATCCCAACAGGGGTACGGGGGGTAAAGAAGCGTCGCCTAAGGTCCATTCTCGTCATTCTGCCTTGACGATCGCAGAACGAGCAGACAATCGCATCCGCCTATCGCCGCTCCTACCTCTCCCGTGATCCCCAGCCATCATCAAGGTTTCCTACCTTGCTAACATCCAGCAGTCGCTTGCCAAGGGTGACTCCGTCTACATACTGGCCAGCAACCAAGATGCCGAGGAGATTACCAAACTCAACAAGTTTAACTTTGCCGGAGCTGCCCTGTCCATAACTAAGAGCGAGGAAGGCTGGCCACGAACGGATCAGACAGATGCTCCGAACTTGTCGAACAAGGCACAACAGGACAAGATGATTCTACAGACTGTCTTGGAACGACGATACGACACCAGCACGAAACTCCTCAACCTGTCGGCTCTGGGCCAAGACCCGGTTCTCACCGAGATGGGCCTGTTCCAAGCAAAGAACACGGCCGAGAAGACCTTCAAGGTGCTTATGGTCATCTGCCAGGAATTGTTCAAGACTCCGGAAGCGAAGCGCCAGGCGATTGAAAGCGTGTCTCTTGCCGGCAACAATCTCGACTACGTTGGTCTGGTCTTTGACCTTGCCGAGACCTTCCCTGATCTCCTGCATCTTGATCTCAGCAACAATCACTTTTCTTCACTGAAGCAACTCAACAAGTGGCGCGGTCGCTTCAAGCATCTTCAAACCCTGCTTCTGAACAACAACCCTGTTATCCAGGCCGAACCGAACCACGCCACCGAAGTGATGGAATGGTTTCCGAAGCTGCAGGTACTGAGTAATGTGGTGGTCAGAACCCCTGAAGCCATCGCCGCGGAGGAAGCAAAGGCCAAACCGAACCCAATCCCACAGCGAGGCACCGACTTTCGCGATGTTGCCGGGCTTGGAGAACGGTTCATTCGCGAGTTTTTCCCGATGTACGACACGAACCGGGACAGTTTGTTGTCAACCTTTTATGACGAGCACAGTACTTTCACGCTGGCTGTCGACATGGGTGGTCCACGGGACACCAACACTCCTGTGCTCCCGTGGCAACCTTACCTGTCGTTCTCGCGCAACCATCAGCGGATTACGACAGAGGCAGGTCGATTCCAACGCTACATGAAGGGCGTTCACATTCAGGAAATCTGGAAGAAACTACCAGCAACAAATCATCCAGACCTAGCAACAAACCTGGACAAATACATCATTGACTGCCACCCCATGAAAGGTCTGCATGATCCTGTCAACCACAAAGTTGAAGGAGAAGATGGAATGATCATCACCATGCACGGAGAATTCGACGAGCTTGAGGCATCGAGTGGGAATACAGGCAAACGCAGCTTCTCGCGCACCTTTGTGATCGGTCCCGGCTTGCCCGGCCGAAATCCCATACGCGTGAACAGCGACATGCTGTCGATAACACCTTGGAGTCCGGTTCCATCAGTCACCGTATCCGTGACTGCCCCGGGCCCATCTCCCGAGGATCAACAACAATTGATGGTGCTCGAGCTGTCAAAGCGCACACAAATGACTCCCGAGTTCTCAAAGATGTGCCTTGAGACAGCCGAATGGAATTTCGACCGAGCGCTGATAGTCTTTGAGGAAAAGAGGGTGAGTACAATTACTTGGTGATCATAACTCTCTTTAAGGCGGCAACTAACATACTCATAGGCGGTCCTTCCACCCAACGCCTTTATCTCAGCATGAGCCGGCCCGTGGCATCGTGGATACTCTAAGCTGCTCCGGGCAAAGTTTCTGTCTGTATGAGAGTGCTTGTTATTCACGGCAACACCGAATCGAGACTCGCCAAGGATTCGCCATTCGAGCGTAGCACAAGCTGCAGGGACAACAGGGACACTTGGATGAGATGAGCCGAGAGCAGTCTGAAGTTAGCTCATGGAAAATAGGGCATGAATCAGTTGGCTGCGGCAATCAGCGAAGGCTGGAAGGCGTCATTTGTTATTTTGCAGCGCACCGCACTTCAAGCGTTGCGAGAAGAATATTGAAAGAGGACGACAACGACAATGTCCAGGTGGATCTGGGAGGCTTCCGAAGATCAACATGATGGACACACATGGCCGATAGATTGACGTGAGGAGGGACCAGGACCAAAGTCTCGGCAGCAGCCATGGTTCCATGAGCCAGAATAATGGAATTCTAAGGGGGGCAAGCCTCCAAAACACATATTTGTCTCCCCAGCTTGCAAGTGAAATGAACGTGTTTTCAATTTTTGATGACGGGTGAGCGAATGGCCCAATGGCGAGGACGAACGCGAGAGCGCCGCAATATCACAAGCCGCGCGCGTTCCACCGCGGGGGTCGCGCGCAGCACATGGTCCCATGTGTGTAGCTGCGGCGGTGGGGGTATTTGAGAAAAGACGGTCACAGTATGCCGTGTTCGCAAGACTGGGCGCTTAACGCTCTGCATGGCTGGTTTACTGGGTATGTAGACTAATGACTGGATGACCGCAGGAAGACAAGATCTCGGGCCGCGGCCGCTGACATGCACTTGCTCATCTTGCATGGGAGCGGCCGGGCGGGCTGGCGCGCGACCAGGCCACACGCATGGCACAGATGGCTTGTTCGACAGGATTGTTTCCTACTCTGAGACTGTTTCTTCTACTAAACTAGGCCCTCGGAGGTTTTGGGAAGAGAGGGAGGGAGGGGAGACGGTTGGCGGGCGATCGCCCGCTGGGCAAGCACATGCAGGCCATGTGGTTCCTCTCCAACCGCCCGGCCGAACAGCTCGGAGCAAGGCATGAAAGAAGAGTGCAGGACTGGTGTCTACAGGGGTTCTGTTCTGGGTGGGTGATCGTCGCTGGCCGGTGGCTGACCTTGCTTGTTTTGTTCCACACGTTTCCCATGATGCAACAACTGCTTTGCGCATCAAGTAATGCCACGGCCTCCCCCACCGCTGCGATACCACCTCAGGTCAGGGCCCGGATTGGGCAGGGAGTGCGTGCTGATCGCTGCGTCTTTCCTCGAATGGCAATACGCCTGCTTGTCCTGGACTGCCGGGTTACTCATCACAGGGGTGGGTCCGGGGTTTGTCTTCTTCGACAACGAAAAGCCGGGCGCTTCAGCAGCGAGCGAGTGACCGCCCAGTCCGCCCCAGAAAATGCCCACGTGCGGAACGAGGTCGCGCGAGCTGCGCGAGCTGCATGCTGATGAATGCAAGTACCTGCGTAGTAAGTTGATCAGCGCCAGGTGCGCCAGTCCGGGCATAGCTTGTGCCTGGGCGGCTCTCTCGGATGGATTGAAATAGATCGCGTGGAAGGACAGCGGCGACAGGCTAGTGCAGGCCTGCCTAGGCCGTTTCTCGAGGACCAGGTGTGGCTGCGGCTGATCAACTGCTGTGACGGGGAAGACAAGCCTGGGCCAAAACTATCAGGCTTGGCAAAGAAGCTCAGCGCTTCACAGGTTTTGTCTCTGGGGGCCAGCAGCCACGCCATCGGTCGGCGGCGTCGACGGGACGGACTGAGAGTAACAAGTGACTGTATGAATAATATCCCTAGAGTTTTCCAGGGAGGTCCTGGAGCCAGAGTCCGAAGGGTCCTCTCGAATTGATTGTGTGCTGTACCAAGAGTGATGTTCGCTGTCATCGTATATTGGCATACGCAATGGCAAATGCAACGCTCTGGAGAGCCAGGGCTCGGTACTTGTTCCTCGCAACGCCGAGACGACGGCTTCGGACCATGGCGGTAAGAAATAGAGATCAAAAGCATTTAGTGCGCCAAAGCAAGCCTCAATGTCCGAAGTTCCTGCAGAGCTTGAGCTCTCAATATACATCAACAGGGAGATTCGCACCTGCAAAAGCGGAGGGTACACCGGTACATCAGAGCACATCACCCAGCACCCACACCCACATCCAACACCTACAGTACACTACACCCAGCACCTCCACCCAATACTCACATCCAACACCCACACCCAATACCCACACATAACACCTACACCCAATACCTATACCTAATACCTATTCGTATATCTAATTCTTATACCTAGGGCTATTTAAGTATATTATTTAGGTATATGAATTAGGTATATGGGTGTTAGGTATGTGAATTCTTATGTGGCTTAGTGCTGGTGATGTACTGGTGTACCCTCCGCGCATCTCCATATTCATATATTTGAGGCTCTGCCCAAAAGCATGGCAGCGGGGACACCGCCAGTCCGGATCTCGGCTGGTATTGCCCTTCACTCGTGTGACGGACCCCGGGCAGGCAGGTCGTCCTGTATGGCTTCGTCATTTGCTTGCAAACGTCAGAGCGTGTGCCCAATGTAGTCTTTGGTGCGCACAACGGTGGGTGCAACGGTGTCTACGTGCTGGTTCAATCCAGGTGAGGACAGGGATCGTCGCTCGCAGTGCTGTACTGTACCTGATTTTACTGGATCGTGTCCCCATATTGCTTGCGTTAGCCCAGGGGCGTTTCGAAACACTAGTGCCCAACCAGGCCCCATCAGGCTTCCCAATCGAGTAGGCTGCATGCATCGAAGACACGCCGTCCTTCGCAAAAGGGCTGGGCTTGGGTGAGGAGGATCGGGAGACGCTTCCACTTCCTCCCATGTGCTCCGCCCCGTCCGAGATGTTATAGCTAGAGCCGACGAGGCCGTTCCCAGATCACCAAGCCAGTCCGAGGAGGATGCCCGCAGCGCCGGGAGCATGATGATGCGTCGTGGGCTCACTGTGCGGGAGAATGGGGCCACGGCAATGTTGTCTACCGCAGTCGGCAGCATTCCTGGCCCGGAATTCTGCCATCTCAATCATCTCGCCTCTGCATCAGCGACAGCACCCGCACCCGCACCTCTGCCTCCGCATCCTTCGCGGGGCCCTGACAAAGCGCAGAGCCGTGCCCGCTTGTTTCCGACATGTTTGGCGGCACCTGTCCGCGCGGGGATCTGGAACATGGGCATAGAAACTCTCTCATCTTGGCCCGTTCCTTTTGCCCTCTTGTTCCTGTGCCTGCAACGTGGCGGCGCAGGTAGGCTTATTATTAGGTTAATGAGTGAGGAAGGATGGCAGCTGGCCGTGGGTGAGCAGGATGGGATGAGCAGCCAAAACCCCCTCGTGATGGGCCGCGAGAGGCCGCCACGAGGGGGCCACGAGACCGTTGGTGTTGTCTGTGCTGTGAATAGTGTCAGAGCATAATAAAGGCAGGCAGACTCTCAGTCGCCAGTGAGTCTGATCTGAACTCTCTGGACTCTGTGTGCCATCACTGGCGTCCAATGTGTTTGAGTCTGGTGGTGGATTGTTTCCATCTTATTCAAGGTCATCCAACCTCGAGCCGTCCCCGCCCCCTTTTGCCCTTGTCTCGCAGGGGCCAGGCATCAAAAATATCTGATTGACGCAGGGGTGGCTGCACTTGTGAGCTGCAAGGGGGGGGAAGGCACAACACGCGGCGCGGTGCGTGGTGTGGTGCAGCCGGTAGAGCACGGCGCAGTACCTCGTCTCCTCGAAACTCGCTATGGTGTCAGAAGTATCTCGCCGGCCGCGCTACTCTGACGGGCCCGGCTGCACTTTTGATTGGCAGTGGACTCGACCCCAGCAGCGAGGATGGAGGATGCAGGCTGGGATCTCCCTGTCCTGCGCCCTGGACCCGCCCGGTCGCCTTTCCACTTTGGTCCACACTGCTACCGTAAACCCCCTCCCCTCTGGGCATCGACGCCTCTCTGGGCCTCTGCACTCCTCCTGTCGCCGCCGCCCTCTTGCCTACTGTTACTCTCGCCGCCTCGTGTCGTCTTCGTGGCCATGGTCGTCGTGACACTGTCGCAGTCTTTGTCGTCGCCGTCTCGTCCTTTCTTCCGTCTGTGTCCGTCCAAGGATACGGCCTACCGTCCAAGTAAATACTGTACGGTCCGTCTGCTAGTCACTCCCACCCGACTCTCGAACATCGCCTGCACACTTGACACTACCCCCTCGGGAAAACCACACTATTTGTCGCCTAGACACTGTCATTTCTGCTGCATGAACACTCGTCTCCACCGTCGTGATCGGCACCCGCGAGCCCCATCATCCTGCTGAGCCTGAGCCTGTACGTCTCTCCTCCTCTCTGTCCTGTCCACGCCGCCCCCTGTGTGCGCCGTACGGTTCACTTGTGCTTTTCCACGGTACCGTCGTACTTTGAAATCGAACATCCTAACAGCCGTCCAGTCCAAGGGGCCATCCTGCCTCCTGCCCGTCCAGCAACGACCACAACGGTGCATGAGAGGTCAGCAAAGTGGAGCAGCAACCGGCCGACTCCTTTGCCCATCATCCCAGAAAGGCAGAAGCCCCCGATCCTATCCTGGCCCTGCTACAGCCATTCCCGTGTCCAGACCGTCGTGCCTGCCCTCCCTTCTCCCACTCCTGACCTACCACCATCCGCGCACCCTCAGCAAACTCGCACACGTTCTCTATCTCCTCACGCTCGCCTCCGGCCCTGGCAAACCTCCAAACTCCATTCTATCAGCAGATCTTATCCTTTCCGAACTGGGGACAGGTCCTCAATTCCGTCTAACCTTCCACCGCTTCGCACCCAAGCCTTGTCTTGCCCATCTTCACTTCTCGACTGACTCTCATCTCACCACGACGGGGCCACAGCCGGCCACTTCTGGTCTGCCAACCATCGCATCACTTGACCAAGGCCTCCACCGGCTTCGATCGACCTGACCTACGGCGTGCTGCCTATTGCAATTGTCCACGGACTGTGCATGGTCGTACAATTCTTTGCCACTTGCCTGAATTGACCCGCCCCTTTTTGCGACACTCTGCCGTCCCAGGCCGCCTTCGTTGCACCGCCTCGCTCGAACCTGCGAACTCTTCGTCGACCGTTCGGCTGAATTCGATCCTCCCGCCGCTCGCTCAAGTCGTCATGCGATTGCGTTGATTACTTGATCCGCTTGAGGCTTTCCTTTGGTGTAGACGTCGCCCGATCTGCGTTTCAGAGGAAGATTCTCGATTGCGGTCTACCACTTCATCATGTCGATGTCCCATTCGGCCGGGCAGCCTAAGCCCAAGGTCGCTCTGGACAACATATGCTCTGTCGTATATAATAACACTCTGTATACTTACTCAGCAGATGCCTTCCAATCCTTGAGCCTGGAGAAGGGGTCGGAGTGGAAGACCTTGAAGCAGGGAGAAGGGGTCTCCGGAGCTGCTTGTGTTGGTTCGAAGACAGCATTTTACGTCGTCGGCGGGACTGGAGGCTCGTCAGACTACCAAGGCCTGCAAAGGTATACATACTCGACTGGCACCTGGGATTCGATCGACCCCGTCGTCCCTGTCACTCAGAATAGGACCGACCACGGCGCCGTCTATCTCGAGGGCTCCGACTCTATCGTTGTCTATGCTGGCAGCCAGGCCGGCGACCCGAACCCCTCGACACAGACATTCAGCATCAGCGCCACCGAGCCTTACTCTGTACTCGCCTACCAAAATGAAGGTGCACCTCCGACGTCCAAGCCTATACTGCTTCGATGGTCGGACCGACAAGCTGCCATGGTCGGTGGCAGTGCCACAAATACTCAGGTTATGCTGTTCACAGTCGGGGCTGGATGGTCCAACTCTGGAGCCACACTGGCATCTCCGCTGAAAACAGGCACTGAGCAGTGGCAGGCTGTTCTGGTTTCGGGCGACGACGGTTCCAAAAACCTTATTACTTTCGACATGTCAGTGTCACCTAATGTCGCCAATCGCACCGTTCTGATTGATGAGCACGGGGCACCGGTTACCAAGGCCGCGGCTGTCACGAAACGATCAGATGACCGCAGACGGTCGGATCAGGATGAAGTCGGACGTCGGGCAACCGCCCTGACGCAAGAGACTTGGCCAACCTATAATAGCACCTACGCGTCTACAGCGATCCGCAGCAATTACGCCGCCGCAGAATCGGATGACGGGCAGGTCGTGCTTTCGGGCGGCAACACGGATGATGTCTTGTGCATTTTCAACGCAAAATCCAACAGCTGGGTCAATGCGACGGCGCTCTTGGCCGATGACGACCAAAAGGTTCTGTCCGTAACTTCGTCATCCTCGTCCTCATCCTCTGCCACTGCTACTTCAACAACACCCAGTGGCACTTTGTTTGCCACGCTGAGTCCTACGGCCACTCCAGAGACCACCGCGGCAGCTGGAGGGACTACCTCGACCTCTACTCATTCTTCGTCTTCGACATCGACCTCTTCGTCCGGACTAGGCACCAACGGTATCCTAGGTGTTGTCCTTGGCTCAATTGGCGGTGCTCTGGTCCTCCTGATCCTGCTCTACTGCCAGATTCGAAAGCGCAAGAGAACGCAAGACTTTATCCAGGCAGGCCACGCCAGACGAGCCAGCGGTGCTTCAGAGAGGCCGGAGAAAGAGGGGATGGCTGTTGTGACGGAGAGCTACCCACGCTCGCCTACAAACCCCACGTTCATGCGCAGCCACCAACCTAAGGCGTCGACAGGATCATTCTCATCCATGGCGATCTTAATGGGCAAGGGACCTAAGAACTCAATGGAAGGAGGGCCGAGACCTGGTTCCAGCAACAAGCAGATGAAGGGGATGAATGGCATCGGCCAAACGGCGCCCATGCGTCCCGTTCCAGCCCTTGCGCCAGATCTCAGGGAGGAGAAGGGTGTGTCCTTCGCCGCTGATACAGCTGAGCCCCGGCCAGGTTTACGCGTGCCCGCCGATCAGCAGGATGGGCTGCGACGCAGCTCCGGTTGGAACCGCTACTGGTCAGGCGATAGCGCTGCACTCAATATTCTGGGCTATGGAAATGGCCAGCAGACGAATCGGAACACAGTCGCCTCGGAAGGTTCTCACTACTCTACAAACGGTCAAGGTATCGACCCACGCTACCGCATGACCAAGGACAGTGCAACGGTGCCGCCACTCAATGTCGACGATGGAAGGCCTCGATTCAATCGCGTCAATTCCGGATCACCGACCGTCAGCAACTATCCCGCTGCCGTCACTCAGCAGCACATGAGTGCCGAATACAGCGATCGGAATAGTCGGGACTCGGACTTTTCTGGCTATTCCAGCGGCATACCTGCGAGTGTACAGGACACTTGGGATCCGACCGCGGCCTCCAAGCCTTGGACAGGTGGTGGGCGTGCGACCAGCAGCATGTACAGCAACGCATTCCCTATGCCTCCTACCCCGAGCGAAAACCGACCGCCGCTGCCACGAAACATTCCTAGTGGCATAAGCCAGCAACCGCAGCTGGACAGAGCAGACACTTCAGACATGAGCTGGCTGAACATTGGCGAACAACAATATCAACAGCAGCAACAACAACAAAACCGACACTAATTCCCGTTGCTCGCCGGTCTTCAGTCACTTGCAGCACTTGTGGTTTATTGACCACTTATACCCGGCATCGTTTCATCACTCTCTTCGAGTTGCCTGCCATTTTGTGTATTCCTTGTCAGGCGAAAGCATGGCCTAGAGCTTTCGTCACCATTATAGAAAGGGGGTGATGGCTGCGGCGAACTGATCGCGAGAAACTGCACGCGACACCAGCCGAATCGACCTATGTCGCTCCAACTCGCCAATGCCCATGACTAAAACACCCGACACGACCTGGGTCCTGGTCGGTTTCAAGATCGCCCTCAAACACCCCGTCGGGCGCTGCCGTCGCCTCCACCAGCATCTGCCTTGCCGAGGACAAGTCGGCGTCCCCGAATGTCGTTCTCGTCACCGCATCATCGCATCAGCGTCAAGCGTGTTTGTACTATCACCACTTCAATTCGCATTGCACATACTTCACATAGCTCGATTTTTTTTACGTCATGTCTCTACTATTGGCCCCGGTTAGGCCAGCCAGACCTATACATACATTCGCTCATGCTCTATGATATCCACGCAACCCGTCCTAGCAAACATATTTGGACCGGTGGCACAGCTACATCATCTCGGAAGCGTTGTTACACTTTTTTCCTTGTTCGTGTCCTGAAAGTTGAAATATTCTCGGCGGTCAGATAATGCATCAGCCCGTCACGGGCTAGATGTCCCACGGTGTGGGGGATGTCAGAGGGGGGGAGGCAGAGAGAGAAGAGGGGAACAGGGGACGATCTATGGTGGAAAATTGGTGCATGTGGAGGCCGAAGGATGATGTATGAGATCAGGAGGAGAGGCAGAACCGTGTTCTATGCCTTAATCTACCTATCTGTCTTTATATCCTGGCGTATAAGAGCGACGAGGGCCAGAGTACTCCATGAACGTGAATATATTCGAAAGTCATACTAGTATCATCGTTCTGTTCGACGCAAACATGTTCTCGGCCTAACTCCTCTGCCTGTTCATCTCGAAGTATTCGGGTCATGGACGGGGGGTGCCGGCTTCTCGAGTTATGCTCCTTTCACATCCTGCGGGATGGCTCTGGGTTTTCCAACAGACCCAAGGGCGTTTCTCAATCAACTGACTTTGTGGTTGTATTTGTTGTATGCCCGTGCTTTCATGAGGAAAGACAAGGTAGATGCAGTACTTCTCAAGTTGAGAACGTGGCCCAACAACTTCACAATGTTCTCTCACGCGAAGCCCCAAGGCATAACGAGATGCAAATATAATTGACAGATGCAGAACTCCTTTCACGTACGACCATACCCAGCGGAAAATACGGGATCCCGTCCGCTCTCCCATAGTCAAGCCGCTGAGGGCCCTCACTGGATTAGTAGTTGGGTCGGTGACGACCAGCGAATACCCGGTGTTGTACGTTTTTGCCTTTTTGGTGACACGGGCCTTTTCTTTTCTGGTCCACTGCTCGACTCGACAGCTTCCGTTTTCCCCATTAAGCAAGAGCAAGCTCCGGTACGGCGCAAATGAGCTCCAAGTCAACAGTGTCAGGCTGGAGCAGCAACGTTTCTGCGCCGTAGTACAGAGCCGTTCCCTTCATTCTCTCACGTCGAGATGCAAAGGGATGGCCAGGGGTGCCCGGGGGTGGCGAACTAAATGACCCTCATGGCATGTGGTCAACTCTGCAAGCTGGTGTACTTGGAAACATCCATCACACCTGCGAGGTTGCTGTCTCTCCAGTGACTTTGTGTTGCTAGTGCTTCCTGTTCTCGCACGCTCCGTGAGGCCGTACAGCTTTTCGGCCTGTGGGAGGACCATTTTGACCAAGAGGAGTTGCGCCCACCCTGTCTCCAGGAGCTGCTGATAGACTGAGACGCCGTTTCCGATTTCATCATGATTGGGAGGATGTGTATCCCGAACGTGATTTGGGAAAGCCCGTGAGTTTCTAGTGCCCAAAGAGTCACTCCAGTAATGCTGGCAGCGAATGAGCCATGGCAAGTGTCACGGTCGACATGTGCGTGATAGAAATAGGCAAGAAACACGGCGGCAAAGTGGATTTCTGGGGCATCTGAACACAAGCTGTTGTATTCACTTAAGTCTACCTAACATCCGGGAAGGGCCCTTGACCTAGAAGCTGGAAAGATTGAGTCCAACCTGATCATCGATGAAGAGCAAACCTACCGACCGCCACGGAACATCAACCAGCTGGCAAAGCCAGGACAATCCCACCAAGGCGACTGCGATCACGCGTGTCATGGCTCACCTATGTCCGAAGAAATGTCAGCTTCACCAAGTCCACAGAACAGCGCGGCGGCAGACACATCCTGCCCTTCCCTCCCCAGCAAAACAACATCAACCATTTTATCAGAAACCCAGATTTCAAAGCACTACCGTCCCCACCCCTCCGCCACACCACATCCCCCGGATCCCCGCCAGCATGTGACGATGCAGGCGTCCCAACTCTGCGGAAGGATAGGGTTCGCGGGAGACGTGCTGCGGAGGCAAGCCGAGGGGTTCCAACTTTCGTCAAGAACCCGGGGACAGTCTCAGACGGCTCTTCCTATTTCGAGAATAAAGGGTTTTCAAATGCAAAGATTTGAGACTCATCATAAAGGTGGTTGGCATGGGGGAGGGGGGCACATGTGGGAAGGGCACCAACGCGCGGGGGTAGGAGGGAAAAAAGAAGTCGAGCTTACCTGGGCTGGTCCCGTCCATGAGGGAGGAGCGAGCGAGGGTCAGTCGGTCGGTTGGCGACGGTCCACGATCGCACCGCAGATTCCAGGCGCCGCATCAGATCGGCCAGACGAGCAGAGCCTCAAGTCGAAGCGGGGAAACGGCCGGAGGCAACCAGCGCTCCCCGGGGACCACGACGGCGCGCGATGCGCGATGTTGGATCGCGCATCAAGGAAGTGGCCGCTTGAAACATGGCTGTGCCTGCATCAGACAGTAGCCGCGTGCTGCATGATGCTCGCGTGAGGAGGTTGGGTTGGAGTTTGGGGAAGCTCGCGCCAGGGAAAGGCGGGAAAAAGCTTTCAATGGGACCCAGCCAAAGAAAAAAAACGCGGTCACGTGGGGGAAAGCGAGCAATTGGCTGCAGTTGAGCCTCAAAAAAGCGGGCCGGGGCAGCGAGACAGCGCGCCCATGCAGCTGTGGAAGGCGGGGGGGAAATAGATTAGCTCTCTCAAGCTGGCGGCAGCACTGCCCACCTGCAAGTTGCACACCAGACGGTGAGCACAGCACTGCCTCTCTCGTCACACTGCATCGTTGGTGCGGGCGTCATGTAGGAACAACTGGGCGCAGCACTGCATCAGGGAGAACAGGGCATCTGGTGCAAACACACTATGGATCAAGCAATGGTACTGAGTGACGTGAATAGTCTTGTCTGATTTGTGATGAGGTTCTACCGAATGCCACCACGGTTGCTTCTCAACCCTCCCAACAATTACCCAAGAACCTGGTATGTATAGCAAAATCCGGCCTCGTTGTGTGGAATCTGCGGCTTGAATTTTTTTGGTCTTTTTCTTCCCTTGTAATTGGTTTTTTTCCCCTCCCTTCCCATCTCAAAATCTCTTTCGAAGTAGCCGAGGACGAAAGCTGAAGACTAAGTAAGGTAGAAAACGCTGGGGCAAACAGAAGCACGAAACCCAGTCCTCAGATGAAATGTATGTATGTTTACAAGAATTGCACAAGCCAACCATCTTGAAGGCGCAGCTGCCAATCTGGTGTCGCCATCAGTCGCCGTCATCGCTCCTGAACGCTCGCTGTCGTTAAAATCGTAACACATAATCGCCACTTTCCAAAAGGTTGCCAGCATAAGCTGGGACCCTCGGGCACAATTTAGTGTTGAGAGTATCCGTACTGGTTGGCGGACCAATCAACGCCCCAAAATTCTTGCGAGTTTGGCTGCGAGTAGCCGGCCGCGACAGAAGGCATCTCATTGCTGAAGAGTGGAGACTCGTTGTACGTCATGGGCTTGGCCTCGGTAGTTGGTGGGAACAGAAGGAAGTCTGCCCCACCGCTCATGCCCACAGGGATATCATCGAAGCTCTCGTCAACATCTGCCAGAGAGTGTGGAGTATACAGCATCGCGTTGCCCTGTCCGATGGGAGAAATGTGAGGCGCAACCTGCGTCTTGCAGAGCTCTGCCTCTGAGAATGCGGCAAACTGCATGGCGAGCTCCTTGTTAAATGTCGGTGCTGGCACTTGCGCCTGGTTTGCGCTGTAGATGTCGTCCCACTGGTAGTCCGTTGTGGACGCGTCCTGGAAGGTGATGGAAGAGCTGTCCAAGCCAGGATCTGTGATCGGAGTTGCGTTGTCGACCGGCGAATAATCAGAGTAGTCCATTGCGTCCATCGTGTCCAAGTGGATCTCCTGGGGCAACGTGTTGAAGTTGAAGGGCTCCGCCTCTGGGAGATAGGCAGGGAACTCAATACTGTTGGGCTGGTACTGGAGTCTCTCCTCGGGAGGAGTTGCCATTCCAACACTGGGGTTGCTGATCGGAGTGGGCAGTCCCTGGATCTGGGGCGTCCTGTGAGTGACGCTGCCGGACTTGCTTGCTGTCTTCTTGCCGCCGTTTGTCTTGGTCCTCACGTACTGCCACCCGTGGGCTTTCTCCATGTGCTGCTTGCAGTTGGACTCCCTCTTGGACTTGTAAGGGCAAGGAGGGAACAAGCACTTGTACATCGGTGGGTCAATCGAGTGCTTGTCGTTGCAGTGACGATCCATCTCCTTCTCTGTGGGCCAGCCATAGTCGTGGTACTTGCAGCTCTCAATGGGGCATTTCCAAGGCCGAGAATGGGTCTTCTCGTGTTTGGTCAAGTCGCAAGGTCGCTTGAATTCTCTCGTGCAACCCGGCTCGCGGCATTTCTTTGGCGCCAGCTCCTCCGGGCTTGCATTCTTCTTCCGTCGCGCCATTGAGCGCATGATTTCGTCTTCATCGGCCGCTTCCTCGGAGGCAGATCGTTTAACTTTGACTGGGCCATCGTTGTCTTCGTCCATCTCGACAACTTCTCCGGTGGCGAGTGAGATCGCCTTGCCGTCCTTGTTCACACGAACGAGCTGTACTGGCCGACCATTGACATGGATGCCGCCATGGAGTTTGATCTCGTCGGAGCTGACGATCCGGTTAGCAATGGTTTGCTCAAGGGTCATGAGGGGGTGTGCATACGCATTGACGTCCATGTTGTCTCCGGCAGGCTTCTTGTCCTTGGCGTCAGCGATTTGTTTGGCGTAGATTTGAAGTTGTTCCACAAGGTCGATGAAGTATCCGCTTCCGTAAGGAGGGTCGCGAGGTCGAGTTTGTTCTCGGTCACTGAGGTATTCAACAGTCGCTTGGATGCAGTGGACGGTGGTGAGGCAGAAGTCAAGCCACAGGTCGGCGACTTTGGAGCTCTCCTTTGAAACCAAGGCCCGATAAGTATCTCCACGAATACCAAGATTTCTTTGGATCTCACTTACAGGTGCAATTAGTAGAAGCGTCTTCTCGAGGTCTCGAAGACAAAGGATCTCCTTCTCCTTGATCCTTCTGGGACAATCAATAACAAGTGGGTGGAAGGTCTTGAGTTCAGGCTTTGCAAGAAGCGGTTTCAGGATATGCTCGCAGATTTTGTTTGTGGCCCGGTTGCTGAGGCCAGGCAGGGTGGTGGTCGCAGCCGCGGACCGGGTAATAGTCGACGGCTTGACAGATGACGTCTTGCCCTTCTTGCCAGAGTCGACGGCGGCTTTATCTTTGGATGTCGCGACAGAAGTGCCGAGACCACTGTCTGAATCGTGGTGTCTCGCGGGGCGACGAAGGGTTGATCGCGGGCGCAGCACACGACGCTCCTTTTCGGGTTCGTCCAACATGGCGACCGAGTGCTTGCGGAGGCCGTCGGGGAAGGGGAAGGTTTTGTCAACCAAGGTCTTGGACTCGTCCTGGGAGGCCGACAAGGTCTGGTCGATGCTGTCGAGGGTGATACGCATGCGTCGTTTGTGAGCATCGATCACGTCGTCCAAGCTGGTCTGTGATCGACGTGGCAGAGACGGGGGTCTGAAGGCGGAAACGTCTGAGCCAGGAGATGTAGGAGAGTGGAAGGTGAGGCCTTTCCGGAGGGGCATGTTGGTCTTAAGGGACAAGGCCCCGTCCGGGTGAGTCGCCGGAGTCCTACGAGGATTGGACATGTTGTGCCGGCTGGTGTGGGGTTGGCTAAGGACTTAATGGCTCTGGCGTTGGACGGAACACTGTGTCGACTATGGCAGGCCAGCCAGGGTCAGCGAGTGTCTTGCATGTAAGGCTGAGCGCGGGATATGGTTCGGTGGGGGGTGAGTCACACGGGTGCGTCGATAGTACGAGCGGAGGTGCAGGTATGTGGCCCCGATCTCGTCACGTCTGTGACGACACACGGTGAGGCCAAAGATCGGCCGACTCAGTCGGCTTGGGACGTGGGGATGAGGAGAAAGGACTGCCACAGAGGACGGGGAACAGAGAGGACAGAGAGAATGGAGTCCTTACGCTGACAGACAGACACAGTCGACACGCTACGTTGTGGACACGGCTGCGGCTTCTCAGGCCAAGCTGACGGCCTGTGTGTCAGATGTGAATCGAGGTCTGGATGTCTCTTCGAGATGAGATGTCGAGTTGCCCAGGGCCGCGGCAGAATTGCAAGGAAGTGCAGGTGGCGGGGAATGAGGCCAGATAAAGGACAGGACTAGGCCCTTTGAAAACGAGGAAGAAGACAGAGAGGACAGAGAGTAAGACGACGACGGGCGGGTGGCCAACGAGGCTCTAGTGTGAGACGGCGGCAGGTGTCGGGGATTTGGCCTCAGGGGGGTTCTATGTGGTCTCTCTCTCGCTCTCTCGCTCTCTCGCGATTCCAGGTGCAAGCAAGTTCAAGTCCGAGAATGTGGATGGGTAGTCAAGGCTTCACGTTGGCCTCAGGACGCTTTGGAGTCAGCAGCAGGAGGGTGAAAGAAGGTTTTTAGAGGGTGGGCAAAGCACGGGGACAGCCAACACGATGAAATGAGGTTGAAGAGGAGGAAAGAAGCGCGGGTGGAGCTGGGCGGGCTGGATGGGGTTGGACGTTGGAGCTGCTGAAGGCGCGGACCGGACGGACCAGAGGTTTAGGCAACAGCGACTTGACCCGGCTCGATGGGGCCTAGCTCGCGTCGGTGGGCCTGCGATGGGATGAGCCCTGGACTTCCCTGGACTGCCTTGGACTCCGCCTCGCAAGGATCTGGAGCTGGGGGCCAGCCAGCTCGTCCACTCACGAGCGGCAGCGCCTGCTGCGGTACCCCGTTGGGATTTAGCGCAAGACCAGGTGAGAGATTGTTGGTCCGCTCCCCGACGCTTCGGTCAGCACAGCACAGCACCAAACAGCACAGCACCCTGGCGACACGGCACGCACCTGGTCACACAGGCTCATCATGTCAGCGAAGATGAGGCTCTGCTGTGGGGACAGTGACACGTTGTCTCTCGTCTCTGTCCCGTCCGTCCCTTTCCGTTTGCTCTGCTCTGCGCTGCTTCTCCTTCCTCTTCGCTATTGCGCACCCTCGCATTCCACGCCCCTGCTCGAGTCAGTTGTTTTGCACACGGTCGGAGTGCGGAAATGCTCAGTCGGCTGCTCTGCCATGCAATCAATAGTCTACACGAGACGAGACCACGACCACGACCACGCGTATGAGCATGCTCACAATCACCTATGCAGATGTGCAGAGTTCTGTCTCGTAGTTACTAAACTTCGCCATCTTTTGATGTTCTCCCTACGTCCCCTCCCCCCAGCCCCTAACAGGATAACTAGCAACTCACCCATTTGCGATGGCATCATCTCGGGTGGCAGTGAGGGCCGCTCGACTGATCTGCGCACGCGCGAAAAGCTGACTGCATGATACATCAAGTTTGTACCTCCTTGATGAGCAACACGGCGGGACCTTAAAACGGTCCGTGCGCAGTCAACTGCCCACCCCTGCCCTCAGCCGTGCGGTGGATCAACCATCAATAATCTTGTCTGGGGCAGCACTTGAGCTGGGGTATGCAACGCTCCACTTAAGGTTGGTGGTCCTTTTGTACGATTCCACAATTCCACATTTCATCTACTTCGCGAATCCGACGGCTGCCCTCAGTCCTTGCCAGTCCTCAACCGGTCTGGGCCAAGCCTGCGATCTTCCAAGCAGCGGTCTTGCCTCTCATCGGCAGAGGACTGTCAAGGTCGGTCGTTGATTGATGTGACACACAGTCGGCGTCGGCGTCGGCGTCAAACTGAGTGAGTCGCAACAGCCACGGCCCCCTACTCCTGACTGCTCAGCCAGGCCACTTCTGTGGCCTCATCAAGGTCTACCGCAGTGCTGGTCTGGTCATTACCCAATGGCAGCAGCGAGCGCAACTGCCGCTGCGTGTTGGTCAAACTCTTCGCACCTAGCCCACTGCACTCCTGCGGCTCAGCACTCCCACCAACACCCTGAGGACAAAGACCAAGTCAATTTGTCCGCAATACGGAGCTGGAGCCACATGCCAACCCCCGATACAACCCTGCAAAAGCCCGCAGAATCCTTCTGGGGCCTCCTCTGGCCTCACTCACTGGGCTTGACCGTGGCTCTCATGAGATAGTTGCATGAAGTGCGTTGCGGTGCATGAAATTCACTCGTGTCAAAAGGCCCGCCCTCGTTTGTCTTGGACGGACGCTTGTTGTTGCAATCGGATGGGTGACATGTTTCTGACCTCTGGCCTACAGGACAAGCTTGTCTGTGGCCAGGCCTCACCTGCTCCACCGGTAGGGCTGCTTCACACACACCCACCGGGTTTTGGGAAGCCAGAGGACGAGCAGCTTGTTTGGAGAACAAGCTTACCCGACTCCCAGCCGGGCCTCGTCATCTGCGTTCCAACCAGCTTGCCAAGTCGGGGTCAGGCCGACTTCTCCGCAATCTCCTACCACCTACGAAAACACCCGGGCCATCCCTTCCATCCCACCCTCTCCAAGATTGACAAACGCCTACGTCCTAGCTTGTAGTACTGCATGGCATGGCAAGTGGTTCCTGAGGACACCATGCAGCTGTTCTTTCCCTATCAGCCCTACGAGACGTTGTGGCAACCTGCATCCACTAGAGCAACCCCTACCCCACCCATGAACTGGCCCCCTGGGCCACTCAGCGTCCAGAGAATCGGGCAGCCTATGAAGACGACGAGTCTCGCGTGCGTGTTTTTCCACGACCAAGATGCTGCCTCTGCAGAATCTTGACTCGCCGGGCCACAGGCTGCGACATTTCTGTACCGGCGAGAACGCTGCACGTATTCAACTCGTCATGGCTTGCATCACTGGCAAACTTGACACGGCACAGATGGTCGAACTGGCGGCCTTGGCCCAGTGGGCTGGTCGTCCAGGTGCGCGTCGTTAAATCAGGTACCAGTATTTTGAGTCGATCCGACTGGCCCTCGTCTCAGGTGTGCCCCCTCCAGGTTCCAGTATTGCATTCCCAACTCGCTGCAGTGCGACTGCGAGTGCGGTCTCAGGTGCACCAAACAACCCCCATCATCGGGTCATGAGTGGCTTGTCAGACCTGCATGGCCCAGGCAGTCCAATAGACAATCTCATGGTGCGTGCGGTACGGGCAAGTCGTCTCGACTTGTCTTTCTCCTTTCCCGCACCGCATGTTCCCTGTACAGTTGCATTCACGGGTAAATTTCGAGGTTCGTCACGTTTTTCAGTGTACACAGTGCGGAATTGTTTGATTGTCACATAGCTGGGAGTTTTGTTTGAAAGAAAAATGATAAATATACTTACCTTGCATTGATTTAAAACAGAAAAAGAAGGAGGGGAAATACAAGAAAATTAAAAGAGAAGAGGGAAAAAGAAACGAAAGGAAAGGAGCCATCCATGTTTTTTTCTTCTTTCGTTTTACAGTTCCTTCCTACCAAAAGAAAGAGTAGATAGAAAATACTTCGTGTTGCCTCACTTAAGGTGGACACGTGAGAAGAAACCTTAACGCCCCAAAGACTTACCTTACCGTTATCCTAACCTTCCTCGCCCTGTTCTTGCATACGTTCAACGATAAAACGGGAGGGATTGTGGGCACCTACCTTGTATAGTGCCACGGGGCTCGGCCATATTCGTCCGGCGAAACGGATCGAGGGTCACTGAAACCAGGCTCAACGGGGGAGACACTGCCGTCTCGGACGCGCATCGTTGTGACAGATGGCGGGATGTTGGGGTTCACCCTCGGACGGCCCCGGGGAGGCGGAGAGGGCAAAGGACGACCAGCGTCGAGGAAACGAGCCCTTTGGGGGGTGATGGGTACGGGCTGACGAAGACTCGGACCTCGCTGGGGCCGAGCGTTGAGAGCGTTGGACCTCTGCACGTGCTGGTTCGATCGAGTCGATGGCATGCGCGGTGGCTGTTGTGGTTGCGTGGGGGCCTGCCTGACCACTGCTGCCGGCGGGGGCTGAAGGGCAAAAGACGGCAGTGCCGAAAGTTCCCTGTTCAACCCCGGGTCGACGTAAGAGTCTCTGTTGCTAGGCTCGGAGGCGGCATTACGGCGAGTGGCCTCGCTCTCCCGCCTCTTGCGCTCCTGGTTCTGGCGGCATATGCGGCAGTAACCCTCACTTCTAAGGCGAGTAACAGCAAGGCAAGTCTTGGACTTGGACGAGGGAAAGCAAAAAAAACTGGTTCTCTTGTACTTACAGCTCGTCTTCTCCATGTGAGTGTGCTTACAGGAAGCATAAACAGTGATAGTGGAACACATGGTGATCGATTGACTTCCCTTGCCTTTTCCTTTGCTAGGATTGGTGAATATGGTGGAAACAAAAGTTGCAGTGGAAATGTTCCTCTCTTAAGTATTCGTCAAATATACTTTGTTCCCCACCGGTAACAAGGTGTTATCGTCTCAACCGCAGCGAGGACCTTGTGAGAGACGATGCCATTGTGTGTACCCTCTTTGTACTGGTCTGCCCTCCGTCAGGAATCCAATGGAGACCTTTTGTTAAGCTGATTTATGTGCCCTATACTCAATGACAATAGGAAGGGAAACAATTCGCACAACCTACAGGTCGATGGCACCAGCCACCCGCCGAAGAAGGCTATTGTCCTGAGGGCGGGTCACAGTTTTTGTCCCATTCACTACCAACAAAGACGTCCAGATGACCCGGGAGTTGTCTTTCAGCTTGAGATATTGAAAATCCCCAGCGCTCCCAGTTGCACATGAATGAATAGACACTGGAGGTTCGGCAGTTTTTCTTGGGCACGCCACTCGTCTACACGCGAACCACAGGCCATCAACAGTCTTGGACCATCCGAGCCCACACGACATGCATTTCCCTTTTTGCACCGGGAAGAGACGGGAAAAGGGCCGCCGCGAGGCCAAGGTCACCTCAAAGTCCCCGATGCCCTGGACCCCCAGTTCCCATGGTCAATTGGAGAGTGAGCGGCTCATCGCCGGCGATGTCACCGCGTTCTCTGACCTTAGCACCCTCATCACGCGAGCCGGGGTCACTTCTGCCCGCGTCCCGCACCTCAACTCCAACGGAGTGGTGGCTACGAGTGAGCTGCTCCAAGGCCACACTGAAGAAGGTATCAGTCATCTAGCTGAGGATCAAGCTGCTGCTCAGCGTCGGTCACAGGCGGCAAGGCCTTGGACCTTCGGATCCCTCTTCTTCTCTAACGCGTCACTCATAGGTGAGGATTTTCAGCAAAGCCTCATGGGTCTTTGCGGCCAGGGCAGCAGGGCATCTGTCCACATTGAGAACAAGGCACCACGTAGTGCCACCTGCCCTGGTCACTGGCAGCTGGTCTTCTGCCCGAACCAAGACTGTAATGCCCTGCACCCCCACGCGGGAGCCCCTCAGAGCCGCCCAGTTACTGCAGAGGACGTCGAGAGGCTATCTGATCGGCCCGTGCCTGTACCATTCCAATCTGGACAAAGGGTAAGTCTCACCTCAAGTCTCGAAGAAGAGCTAGATGCCCAGGAGGCAGAGGAGGAAGGTGAGGAATTCCCTTTTGATATCCACCTTCGGGACGAGGGTGAGTATGAGCGAGCGCTCTGTGAGATAACAGCCATTGCCGCGCGACCTGGGAGCCCAAAACTGATCTCTCTAAGTCGCAAGCATGAAGTGGGAGATGCTAAGGCTGTGAGTGTGGCTATGGGTCTGAAGGGCCAGCCGACAGACGAGCCAAGGTGGTCAACTCAGGCTCAGACGGGTTGCCCTGAGGCGTGCGCAGAGGCTCCAAAGAAACAAGGGTCGCCAAAATCTTCCCGTCTTTCTTTGACTGGTCCGCCGTCCGGTCCGCCCTCCATTCCTCTCCCTCCCAACCCTCCTTCATCCGTCGTTTCTTTGCCCTTGCGATCTAGTGAGTAAGTTGTTTTGGTTAGGGGGGAGGTAGACAATCTCTAGATTAATACTAGTCATATCCGAAGTCGTTCCTGAAGATCAGGAGGCGGCTCTGCCTATCTAACATTTACCATTGTTATGTAAACGCAGCTGAGGTGTAAATGAATTTACTAGATGGTATGGATTATCTCAACCGGACTTTCCTTGCTGCATATGAGGCCCTTTGTAATTTAAAGTTACACCATAACAAGACCCTAATCTTGGCCTTCACAGCAGGTTGACATTGAAATCGAGCCACGGTCCTTTTCGCAAGGTACATCAATGGCCGGGTTCTGAGTGAAAAAAGTCGGATGGAGTGAGGTGGACCTGTAGCATCTCCACCGGCCTAAAAAGAGGGAGCCGCGTCAGATTCCATGCATGTATACGTGCTCAAGGATGCAAGATCATAAGACGCGCAAGACTCACATCACAGGCCAATCCTCCACGCGAGGATTATGCGTCAGACCAGTGGAGCTCCGAATCTTAGACTGCCGAACTTCATAGAAGTTGCCCTTTGGGTTTGTCTGTGCATCGAGACCAACCGGGAATGACTCCTCCTGCACGAGGGTGTTGTTTTGGCCGTCGATGGCCGGATCGATCCTCAGACAGAAAATGTGTTGGTGGTTTTGTGCAAGGGCGCCAGGGTTCACCACTTTCCCCCAGCTAGCACTTTTGCCCGGGTTGATATTGACAACGGACACAATTCCTGTAGCGCGGACCTCTGCAGTAATACCGGCGGCTTGGTCGAACTTGAAGCTGAAAATGTACTCATAGTTTGCGAGAGTAATGGCAAATTGAATGACAAGCTCGCGGCGGCGCGTAACAACGGCACGGTTTGTCCGCCAGTTCGTGTGCTTCCAGCCTATACCGTTGTCCTGTTCGTGCAGACAGATTACGTGCTTCGAATCCTGGGCGGTGCCGCTGGAATCAATGAGAACACCATCGAAGTACTTGAGCTTGTATCAGCGTGGTCCTGTGTACTTTAGCAAAAGAGGCTGCTTGTTGGTTTATGATACCTTGATGAGCCCGAGACAGTCACATCCTAGCTCCAGATTATTCACAGTATGGCCCAGCCCACCATCTCCGAAGTCGAATGCTTGCTTCCTGTGAAATGGGGGTCTTGGATCGGCGTATGGCACTGTCTGCCTTGGTCATTCAGTAAATATGCACTTTTGCCGGAATTCTGTGCAGGACACTTCGTCCCTGGTACCTGATGTCGTGGATCACGGCACCCTCTCTGGAATTAAATGTGACACGCATCCGCCACTTCTGCCACTCGACAAGCTTCTCGTCCGAGACCGTGAAGCTGGGTCCGTTCGGCTGCAGTACAGACAGCGGCTTCAAGTTTGTTCTCGTACCGCCTGGCAATAATTCGGGAACGTACTCGCTCGACTGACAATGCTCAATCACTTCGGGGAGATGTGTCCTGCCCTCCAACTTGTCTCCGTTCCCACCCGTTGCCAGCTCATCCACTCGTACAATTTCTCTTGTGTCAGCGTCCATCACTGGGATTAATGGTAGTGGGTATGCGTAGAAATTAGAGTCGGGGTTCCGGCTCCTAGTGTCTCGGGCAAAGATGAGGCCTTGGAACAGACGTCAATCTTCATCTTCTACCTCCGGCGCGCCGTAAGGCCACGGCTCTATAATTACCTCAAAACCATCGGGTACTTTCAGGGGTTTCAGCTTATCCTTCCACAGCTGTGACCTAGCACACGCATCCGCAACACACTGAAGTTCCTCACTACGAGGTGGATCAGCATCTTGTTAGTTTTGAATCCAGGCGCAACAATCGTGTGGGTGTCGATGGCCTCGCATAGGAACGACTCACATTTTCAATGCGGCGCGCTTCTCTTTGGCAATGACCTCGTGCCGTACTCGTTGCTTCCGCCTCAAATCGACAACGGACTCCTGGTACTGCGGGGCTTTGCTCCCCTTAGAGATCACGTCATGCTGAACCTTCTCTAGACGCTGCGGTCGCGGCGTATCTGGGCGGAGCCTGCCGGAGTGCTCGAGCTCAAGAAATGGCACAACCTCACTTTTCGGAGGCTCAAGTAAAAGAATCTGCCTGAAGTACAGGACCTCTTCTGGGTGATAGCTCAGCGCGACGTCGCGGGCGAGATTCGTCTCGTCAATGGACAAAGCTGAGAGCGGGTGAGGATTGTAGGCCATGGCTGCAGAAGGCAAAATTGGCTCTAGAGGCTGAAAAGTTAGATGATCATTGAATGCAGTCTGTAGTACTGGCCAAAAAAAGGCACGGAGCGATCAAAGACAAAAGCAAAAACAAATTCTACACCGAAGGATGATGCTTGTACACACGGCCTGGAGCCAAGAGAGTTTTGTACAGCACCAGTAACTGATTTGAACGGCTTCCACGTGAAAAGCAATTTGCTCCGCTGCACGATGGTCATACACGTATTAAGACCGATTTTTGAGTTAGCCGATGGCGGAAATGCAACTCCATGAGCCGGTCGGTTCGGTTCCGATTTTGATGACCTCCAGTAATTATGAAGCCTCTTGAGGCAACTAGAGTTGGAGACGTGAGCTCGCAGATACTCTTTCGGAACTTCAGCCAAGCTCCATCCCGCCTGTTCCGGGTCACAACAGTCAATGTCCTCACTGGCACAGTACAAGGACGATCGTGGCCCAAGGCAAAATTTGTTGCATCACCCTGTCGAGGCCCCTATGCATGGTGGAAGGCAAATGTTCCTGGATGATCAACCCCACCCACCACCTCTTTTGTTTCTGTTTTTGCTGAGACAATGGGGACTGTCAGCCTAGTTGGCGTCGAGGGACGACTCATTGACGGTATGCCCCCTTAGCGACCTGTCAAGACAAACGGACGCAGTGAAAGCTGAATTCGTCTGGGCTAACATGACAAAATCACAGTGCAGGCGGGCCTATTCATCAATGGTGATTTCGTCCCGGCTTTTCATGACGCCACTCTAGACGTCGAGAACCCAACCTCGGGCCAAATCTTAGCCACAGTATCGGCATGCCAGAGCGAAGATGTGGACAGAGCTGTCAAAGCCGCCAAAGAAGCCTACTCTTCCTGGAGAAGGGTAGCTCCTAGCAAGAGAGGGGCGTTGCTCAATAGGCTTGCTGATCTGGTTGAGAGGAACGCACCAGATCTCGCGTCATTGCAAACTCTGGAGTCGGGCCAGCTGTATCGTGAATCTCTGGGACTACATGTGACTCAGGCTGTTGAAACGCTTCGATACTATGCTGGTTGGGCAGACAAAATCGATGGATCTGGTCTCCATCTTGCTGGGGGGATGGCTTACACGAGGCGAGAGCCCATTGGCGTCTGTGCCGCCATTGTGCCATGGAACACTCTGTGAGTGCCGCTCCCACACCTCCATTGGCCATGGCCTACAAAACATCACTTGCAACACCAAAAGCACGCGGCTGACGTTTCGACATTCTCGGCCAGTATGATTGCGTTCTGGAAGCTCGCCCCTGCCATAGCGGCGGGCAACGTCCTGATCCTCAAGACACCCGAGACCACGCCCCTCTGGGGGCAAAAGCTGGCTGAGATAGTGAAGGAATCCGGCTTCCCGCCAGGCGTTATCAACATCTTATGCGGCTACGGTGACGTGGCAGGCCAGGCGCTATCCGAGCACATGGACGTCAAAAAGATAGCTTTCACGGGCAGCCCGCCAGTCGGGAGGCGAATCCTCGCCACCGCAGCCCGCACTAACCTAAAGAGAGTCTCCCTCGAATTGGGCGGCAAGAGCCCCAGCATCGTGTTTGCCGATGCCGACTGGGACAACGCCCTGTTCTGGACGACGCTGGGCATCACGGCTAGTAACGGTCAGGTGTGCGTGGCTGGCAGCAGGATCTACGTTGAGGATACCATCTACCATCGCTTCCTCGCGGAATTCTCCAGCCGCAGCCGGAATACCGTGGTGGGCGATCCCTTTTCTCCGGAGACCACAAAGGCAGCCGTTGCCAGCAAGGCGCAGCTGGACAAAATTGTGGCGTACGTGGAACAAGGCAAGCATTCAGGGGCCAGACTGCTACATGGCGGACAGCGGCTTGTAGGTGATGGGTATCTTGTGGAGAACACGGCGTTTGCAGACGTGGACCAAGGGGCAGAGATCATGAGGGAGGAGATTTTCGGGCCACTGGCGTGCATTACCAGCTTCAGGACAGAGGAGGAGGCCGTTGCCAAAGCGAATGATTCCGCCTACGGCCTCAGCGCAGCTGTCTTCACCAATGATCTGAACAAGGCTTTTAGGGTCAGCGAGGCGCTGGAGAGCGGCCAGGTCACTGTCAATTCTTGGGGCGACGTCAGTGCCAATGCCCCGTTTGGTGGCACAAAGGAGAGCGGTTTTGGGAGAGACATGGGCAAGGATGCGCTGGATGATTGGACTACTTGTAAGACCGTCAAGTGGCACATTGCGCCAGCTAGCACTCAATGAAAAAGAGGTTCTGGCGTGAATTTGCCTAATTCTTTCCTACCGTTCGATCTAGAAAAAAGCTTTCTCGTCACCCAGTTGACCAAGACTCGAACAATCTATCATATTCACACAGAATCAGTGCTACAAGAACATATTGTTTTGCAATGAGCATATCCTATCTTGCTCCGAGCACCGGAATGCCCTGGTGGGAATGCATCCTATCTGCTTCCGATCCGGATTTAATTTCTCAACGACTGTGATTCAGCGTAAAAGCATAAGCTATTTCTCTCCCGGTATTGCGAAGTTGTTTGAGGATGATGCTCGTTGCTCAGCCATATCACGCAGAAGAGACAATGAATGTTGCCTGGGAACGTCTCATTCGCTTCGTCAGCACGGATGACCTCGTCCTGCTTGGAGAACCTATCCTGCCTCGCCCCGATTTTGATCTGGGAAACACTGGTGCAGACACTCGCTTGAAAGCCAGAGTGATCCGAGGAGACGATATCTACGACACCACCGGCTCGACTTACGTGACGGACGAAGTCGTCAGCGTGAAAAAGCTGCTCGGCCCCCTGCACTCTTGCGATGTGCCGATAATACGGTGTGTCGGGCTGAACTACGCAACTCATAGTTCGTCACCTATCATGAGCCTTGGTGACGAGATCCGACTTGCTAATAACAACACAGTTCGCGAGGCAGGGAGGCAGGTGCCACCGTTCCCGTCAATCTTCTTCAAGCCATCAACTTCGGTTATCGGTCACGATGAGAATGTGATAGTTCCAAAGATTGCCCAAGACGACCAGGCAGATTACGAGGGAGAGCTAGTGAGTTTGAAGGGGAGCTGGAGAGGGCCACAAAACCTCCCAAGGCGATGTTGCGTTTTACTCACGCTCTACTCTTCGTTGCTAACAAGATCCCAGTGTGTCATCATCGGGAGGGACGCCAAGGACGTCTCCCAGGAGGAAGCCCTGCAGTACGTGGCCGGCTACACCGTCGGCAACGACATCTCATCCCGGAAGCTGCAGCGAGACCCGGCCCTCGCCGGCTCCGTGCCGCAATGGGGCTTCTCCAAGGGCTTCGACACCTTTGCGCCGTTGGGCCCTGCTCTGGTTTCCACCAGGCTGATCGCCGACCCGGCGACTCTGCATCTGCAGACGAGGATCAACGGTCACTTGCGCCAGGATGCAGGGATAGATGACCTCGTGTTCGACGTGAGGTGCCTGATAGCCAGGCTATCCACGGGCACAACGCTGCAGAAGGGCAGCGTGATCATGACTGGCACCCCAGGGGGTGAGTAAAGCTAGATCCTTTCGAAGCCCCAGTTTGCCTGTCGTAGATCTGTGGAAATGAAGGAGCTAACACTATGTTACACGCTGGCAGGCGTCGGTGCGGGAATTAAGCCGCCGGAATTTCTCAGGCCGGACACAGTGATGGAAGTGACTATATCTGGGATAGGAACGTTGCGAAACGGGGTCGAATTTGCATGAACTGAGCACAGTAACGATAGCCGAGAAGGTGAGGGGGGGGGGGTGGACGTATGTGAGGTCGCGTATACAATGTTTCTACGAAAAAATGGCTGAATGGATATGCTCACGTATGTCTTTGTTTTCGTTGTTGTGACATGGTAGTTCCGTGGGCATGTATATTTTGTTCCGAACCGCCTCGGTCGATCCGAAGCAACTATTACAATCAGTTCCTACCGTTCCGAAAGACACCACGGCTGACTTTGGCTCGGCAGCTGCAATTGGATGAGGATTAAAGTGCTGCCCCTATTGCAGTGCTGCACATAAGATTCCGCTATCGTATTCATCACAAGTCAAATCTATACTTACGTATAGAAATCCAACGAATGGAATAAATTATTGGGAGATATAGTGGAGGGGTTTTCGGGAGATAGGGAGGGAGCGTTTTCTTTATCCCCGCCAAGGTTCGCGGTCCATACACTCACCGGAAGGCCTCGTGCTTCCGTTGGGCTTATAATGCAAAACCATGTACCACCGGCTGCGCAGAATTGCAAGGTAACTTAAGGTACCAGGGCTTGGCCTCCCATGCGGCGAGAACAGCACCCAGTACTTTACGGACACGCTTCAGGGCACACTCTGAAGACTCAGACCTCAAGGCGTTGGTCACGTCAACAGTGGGACTTAGTAGACCACTTAATAAAGGCACGGTAGTCCATAATGCAAAATCTTACGTCGGAACGAAAAGATGCGAGTATGACTATGTCAAAAAAGCGGCCACAGGGCCTCTGAATGCATTACAACATCTGTCAATAAAAATACCAAGTGAACCCAACTTCTTGTCTGGAACGAGGACGGGACGGTGCCATATCTTGTTAACCTGAAGCTTTGAATTATCAAAACGGCTGAACGATACTGCAAGACAATAATACAACCATGCCCCAGACTACCTTCCCCAAGAACCCAACTTCTAGGCTGGATGATACAACTCTGGAGCAGCTGCTGGAGGCGCTCAAGGGCCTTGACGTCTCCCCATTGTGGGCTCAGATGCAGCGTCTGAATCCTCCCGCCCCGAACCCAACCACCGTGCCATTTGTGTGGGACTTCGAGAAAGTCCGGCCATACCTTGTGAAAGCCGGCGAACTGGTCGCGGAGGATCAAGCTGAGCGCCGTGTGTTGATGCTTGTGAATCCTGCCAGAGGTAATTACTGCAGAGCTGCTTGAAGAATTTTTCTCCCCATTTTTGGCAAGGTCAAAAACCTGTTGAACACCCTGTGGCTGATTATCTGCCTCATAGATGCCCCCTTCACAACTGACACCCTCTACGCCGGACTTCAGCTGGTCAGACCGGGAGAGACAGCATCTGCACACCGCCACACAGCTTTCGCAGTACGATTCATCATCGAGGGTCGCGGCGGATTCACCGCAGTGCATGGCAAGCGGGTGCCGATGCGGCCTCGAGACGTGGTCGTGACGCCCACCTGGAATTTCCACGACCACGGCAAGAAAGGGTCCGGCGAAGAAGGCGGGGACGATGGCCCTGTCATATGGTTGGATGGGCTAGACCTTCCCAACTTCATGCACTTTCCTGTCCATTTCGTAGAGCACTACACCGAGAAGAGATATCCGGCAACCGAAGTGGCGGATTCTCCCGTGGTGTTCCCGTGGGAGAAAATGCAGGCCAGGCTTGATGCAGCTGGAGGAGCCTGGGCTTCGGTGCCATACCTGAAAGAGGATGGCAGAGAGAGTGAGTATTTCAAACGCAGTGTTCTTCGGAGCCGCCACAAAAATCAGAGTAATTTGACTCAAAGAACGGTTGATGCTGACTTGAAGACAAACAGTTGGCCGCGTGATTGGGGCGTCATGCGAGAAGCTCGACGCCGGGGCCTCGTCTCCTGCAATCCGTGAGACAGCGTCTTCGGTCTATCACATCATCGAGGGCACTGGGAGAACTACAATCAACGGACAGACATATGAGTGGAAGCAGGGGAGCACTTTCTGCATCCCGGCTTGGCAAGAGTACCAGCACTCAGCCAACGAAGAAGGCAGAGTCTACCTCTACCGTTTCGATGACAAGCCTATGCTAAAGGCTTTGGGATTCTATCGTGTCGCTGGCGTCGATGTAGAAAGCCTAGTCTCAGATTAAACATCGAGTTCATGTGACGGCACCGCTCTACATGACTGCACTGTATTCCAAATGGCGTGCTCGAACCATCCATTCGAAAAAGAGGCATTTGGAATAAGATTTAAACATCAGCTGTGGCCAGCATTCTCAAGACTCTTGTACTTCTAACAAACTAAACTCAATCATCTTGTTCGACTCGCAAAAGTCCTTGTTACGTAGCTTCTGCGCAGCCTGCACCCCAGCAGCTGGCACCTGGAACAAGAACCTCATCCCAGAAGCGGGCGGCTGTTCACTGCGGATTGGAATACTGAACGGAAGGCTAGGAGGTAAGAGGCCAAGCTGGGTCAGAACAGTCGCCTGATCCCAAGAGATATGCTCGTGGTACAGGCGGTCTCCTCGGATGTTGACTACCGCTGTAAAAGGAATCTCTAGTTTGCGTCCCGTCGGGGGGATCCCGGGCAGCCTGGAACATGGCTGTTTGTCAGTCTGTGTCATTGATGGCATTTCATTGGAGGGTTCTCCGCTCACAGCCAGTCGATGCGTGAGTTGTGGGTGCACTTGAATATGAACTCGTCAATGACCCGATCGATGCCGACTGAGCGGCTTATGATCTCGGTCTCGGTATCCGCTGGATTCTGAAAGATGAAATGGTCTCGATAGAACGCCGTAAGTTGTTCGCGGCCAATACCGCCGGTGAGCTAAGCACTGTAAGTTCCCGTAAACATTTCCTGGCATTTTGCCGATCAATAGCAGCAGCGATAAGCTTACTGTAGGGATGTGGTTCACGTAGGGCTCCTGGACCATTGTGGCCATGGTGCATTCCACGGAGCGGTTGTCGAACTCGTAATAGGTGTGCTCGTCCCAAATGGCCTCCAGGTCGAAGTATGGACCGCCCATGAGGTTCTTGAAGAACGTCAGATTGCGCGTATGCGATAAGGACTCTGAGTTGTATGCAAACTCTGGCTGAAACGGTGTAGCAAAAAGGAATGAGCCTGCCGTCGGATATTCATAGGCTGTCAACCATTTTTTACTGCGTGCCAGAGGTGTGACTGCTGTTCCTGCGAGATGATGCATCTGAGAGACTGTAGCTGCCTTCAGCGGCTCGGATCCACGCCCAGCGGCATCGGCGAAGATAGCGGCGCCGGCGATCTGTGGATATGATGCCAGGTCGGAGGCGACACGGTTCCAAAGCTCAGGGCTGTAGCCTGTGGTATTGACAGGTCAGCGCCCACAAACGCCCCAGGAATCAGCCCAAGCTTGAATTGGGTCAATCTCATCTCCGTACAGATAATTCCAACAGAATGCTTCGGTACCGTGGTGTGGCACCCTTCCAGCCCTGCGAGTGCTAACTTGAGTGCACTAGGCTCGTGCTCCAATGCGAGCTGGGTGATCTCGACGACAGTGTAGCTCTCTTCTGCCCACTTCATCGAGGGAGACGGTATACCGCGTTCGATCCTAGTGGTGGATGCATCGTCGATCAATCCACTTTCTTGAACGAGGACCACGAGACCCGGGCCCTGGCCACGCCGAGAGAGAGGCTCCAGAAGTGTGATGTGGGAAGCGATCTTCTTGAGCGTGGTCCGGGGGGCGACCGGGGTAGATCCGTACTTGCTCTCCATGATTGTGAAAGGTTGTTAAATGCAGCACTCTACTGATGATTCAAACCTGTAGACTGCAGTGGCAGCTTCCATTCTAGCAAGCCATGCAAAGCCTATTGCGATTGTTTATCTATCCTGCCGTTCTGTGGAGTTGTCCGGAACCGGTTCCGAGGCCACTTCGGCCAACGAACTGCGTCCTCGCCGGTATCTCTGGTTTCAAAATGAAGGTATGAACATCAGTGGAACAAGAATCGCTTTGCAGAAGACTTTGGCCTGAAAGTCATGAAGACTATATCTAAGTTGCACAGCTTATGTGGTACCACAGGCGCTTCATGTGTGCTGTATTTGGTCATTAGGGGACTCTCATGAACAGAAGACTGCATGCTCTCAATATTGCTAGTGCTAGTATCATTTTCCTAATCCTTGCCGAAGCCCATGGCATGCCAGTTGGACCTCACTCTGTCCTTGACGTCCTCCGGATAAGAGTTCTCAAAGTCTACCCGCTGGAAAGATCCCTTCCCCTTATACTCCATGGGCAGGAGACAGTCCGAAACCATTTTGCCTCCCCTTTTCCGATCTCCTGACCCGTGCGACATGTAAGGCGTAAGTGGGAACCCCGGCACGTCCTCAAAAACATACTCGTCCTGCCCCGGTCGACAGCGCGTAACATATGCCCACATTACGTCCTGGAAGTCGTAGACATCTATGTCGTCGCCGACGACCAGCAATCTGTTGATTAGCATCGAGCTCTTGTCGTTGAAAATGACTCGACCCAGTCGCTCGCAAAAGACTTCGGACGTGGTGTTCAGCTCTGCGAGTCTCCGGGAGTCGACTTGCAGCGCACACCACGTTGCCATTGTTTCGAGTGGTGCAAATGCCTCCTTGATCGGCAGATCGTGACTCTGACAGAAAGTCAAGACCTCTGCAGCTGCTAGAGCCGCCGTAGTGTGCTAAACGATTTCAGGCGCGGTCAGCTTGAGACAACTTTTCGCAATGAGTCTGTGAGACCAGGCCTTGCTTACCGATTCATCCGTTATTCGTCCCGGCACTGAGACTGGCATTATGGCGTCGTTGCGGTATGTAATGGCATCCACTCTAAACAATGGCATGGTGCGGCGATCGGAGTCAAAGACATAGCCTAGATAATCGCCAAAAGGACCCTCATCTGCCGTCTCGACCAGGGACATGCTTCCTTCCAGGATGATTTCACTATTTGCAGGGACGAGAAGTTTGCTCATTTCGCATTTGACGACATCCAACGGCTTTCCTACCACTGCACCCACGTATTCGCCTTCAGAGATGCCCTCGGGAATCGGCATGGCAGCTGCGATGGTCGCAACGGGAGGAACACCAAGGGCGAGCGCCCATGGTATCTCCTGGCTGCCTTGCTTCTGCCACTTCTCCTTGATCATGTGGTTATGCTGGCCGGGGTTTACAAGGCACACGATGTGGCTTTTGTCGTGGACCATGCCTCTGAAAATCGACCAGTTGGTCCAGGATCCATCTGGCGACTGCAGGACGTGTATTCCGTACGTCTGGATATATCTGCCTCCGTCTTCCATGTGTAGTTGCGGCACGGGCAGCTTGTTGAGATCAATCTGATCGCCGAAGATCATGTTGTCCTTGCAGGGTCCACTTTCGAGCACATTTGGGGGCAGGGGCCTCGACACCTTGCCTTCTTGTGTTCTTCGGCACAAGTCTGACCATGTTGCGTCGGTTGGAAGACCCAGATTTCTGGCCAGCCTTCCGTACCTCGTGTTTTGATCTCTTCTCAGGCTTGCGGCATTGCCGAACATGCGCCACAGGCCGTTGTGAGCTCCCTTTACATTTGAGAACAGAGGTGCCTTGTCGTTGGTCTCGCTCACTCGCCTGACGATTGCGCCCACCTCAAGATGCGGATCAACCTCCCGGGTGATCTCGACAAGGTCATCATCTTGACGTAGAAGTTCGATGAAGGTGCGGAAGTCCAACTGTGCCATCACCTCGTCGACACGGCAGATGGAACTATCGTCGGTTTCCTTGGCAGACATGACTTGCTGTGCGAAGTGGTTCTCACTTTCAGGCTTGGACCATACATCGATCTCAAATGCTAATGCCGAGGTGGACAAGTCTTTCAGAAAGAGGTAAATGACCTTAAAGTGGCGAAGTGGCGCGTCACGTCGCCCTCTGTCCCGGAACTGAGGTTGAACATGTCGGAAGTTCCGAACGGAACTACCAGACTATGTGGTAGAAATTGCTCCACACCAGAATCCAAGAAAGACTACTTTGACTGGTTGATATCATCTGTCGGGCTGGTCGGCTTCACATGAGATTGCACATTTGATGTTGAGAAACATCTCACATCCGCAATGTTCCAGGCTTGCCGACCTAGCAGCAGCATCTCAGTTTTCAGAAAGACGGCCCTGCTGCACAAGCGGCCGCCGACTGGAAATAATCTGCCGGCACCTTTTTGGCAGAGGAAAAACAATTCAACGTCTTTCCACAACTCCGCTCCTCCGCGACGCATTGTCGTTGGAGTCACGGGGGCGACAGGGGCTGTGTACGCAGCCCGTGTACTCACCATATTGCGAGACCTCGGCATCGAGACACATCTCGTCATGAGCAAGTGGGCAACCGCGACGCTCAAGTACGAGACGACCACTTCCGCGTCTGACATTTGCAAGCTCGCCTCAGAAGTGCACAGCTTCAAGGACGTCGCGGCACCCATCGCCAGCGGTTCCTTTCTCCATGATGGCATGATCATCGTGCCGTGCAGCATGAAGACGCTCGGCTCCATCCGCGCCGGCATCTGCGATGACCTCGTCTCCAGGGCTGCGGATGTGTCGCTCAAGGAAGGTCGCAGGCTGATGCTGGTTGTGCGGGAGACGCCCCTGAGCCAGATCCACCTGAGCAACATGCTGTTCCTGCGGCAGGCCGGCGCAATTATCTTTCCCCCGGTACCGGCATTTTACAACAAGCCGCAGAGCCTGGAGGATATGGTTGATCAGAGCGCAGGGAGGATGCTGGACTGTAGGGGAATTAATACGGACGGGTTTCGTAGGTGGAGTGGGTTCGCCCAGACGGCTGATGATCATCGTGTTGACCGCAGAGAAGCTGGACAACGTCACCCAGCCATCGGGGCACAAGATAAAATAGCCCAAGGGTAGGAAAAGGTACCTGAATTTGAGGCCGAGTCATCCGGCCATAGTAGCTATTTTGAATACAGCGTCAATATGTCAGAGCCCGCCATCCGAGCAGAAAAAGTTCATGTCGTTTGCGGACCAATCGACCATAAAGGAATCAAAAAGCCCTGTACTGGTATTAACATAGGTCTCAGCCTCTGAAATGCCCGTCCCGTCCCCGGCGCCCTCGGTTCCTGGATGACCCGTAATATCTACAACAAGGCTGTCGCCCATGCCATACGCTGAAGCTGTGGGTTGCTGGTGCGGGGCATGGTTGGTGGTCGCCTTGGCTGCCGCACTTTCCAGTCTTGCTGCACCACCGATACTCACCGGCATGTGCTGGTGGGCAGCAGGTGTCCTGCTGGTCTTGTCGCCATCCAGGCAGCCTTCTTCGCGGGAAAGGACGCCCATCTTCGTGAGAGGCCCCTTCAACATGACTAGGCGATCGAACAGCTTGCGTGACACCCGGGACGAGTCGCTATACGCCGAAGCCAACGCGAAGGCTTTCCTAAAGTTCTTACCCACCGAGTCCCAGGATTCGGCTGGAAGAGAATCCCCAGAGCTCGATGATGCACCGCACTTTTGGTCGGCGAAGGCGATGATCAGGAAGAGGAGGGCACAGGCACTTCCCAGGAAGTGTTGCAAGAAGGGGTGTTGCTTGCGGTAGATGTCTGTGCTTCGGTCCAATGTGGACAGTATGTTGACTGTGTCGGATACGATATCCAGACCAGGCCCGATGCTTCTCTTGCTTGATTCTGTGTTGGGGGAGCTGGAAAGGAAGAAGGGACGGAGGAGAATGCCACGGACCGCATTGGCGCGCAGGTACAAAATTACAGTCCATGAGGGCATGTGTGGTGGAGGAGACGCCTGCCATGTTGATGGGTGGGTGAAGTTCTGCTTCTCCAGGGACCACTTTCTCCACTGTTCGATCTGGAAGTTTGTCACCTCAAAAGCATCATCGTCTTCGTAAGTTCCGCCGGTGGCCACGCGGCAGATAGGCTCGTTGAACTTCTGGCTCATGATGGTGAAGGTCATCATGGCTCTGAGATATGGACTCTTGACCTGCGATATGGAATCAAGGAGATCAGATGCGAAGTGGAAATGTGTCCAAGTGATCACAGCTGCATCTGGGAGAAGTAGCAGGTGTGAGAGAGACTTACCGAAGAGGCATCGGCATAATCAAAATCGGACAGCTGGAAGTTTGAAGGCAGGCCTGTGGCGGCGCTCCACTGGCGATCGAGGACTATCAGACTGGTGGAGATAATCTCGGCCTCTTCCTGCTGCTTCTCGGTCTCTAAATATCGTTGGTAAACGTCGCGGCTGTGCAGGCCAATTTCCATGGCCATACGTCCAGCCAGGCCACACATGCGCCATGCGAGCCGGGCCCTGTCGTTGAAGAAATGGTGGAGTCCCTTGTACAAATAAGTCACATGGTCAGCCGCACAATTCATTCTCCCCAAGTATAAGTCTCAAGAAGAGTACAAAACACTCACCACAAGCAACGTGAGGAGGACGTGCCGCAGACCTGTGACGGGCACTGCCAGCAAGATGTTTATGACGCCACGACAGTTCTTGTGGAGGTTCCTCGCGTCCTCCGCCTGGCATCCAGACTCCGCACAGAGCGCGATTGACAAAACCAGGTTGAGGATGAGAAGGCCGTCCTCATCTGACAGGGAGTCATCTCCGCCCTTGGCACCTGACGAGCCAGCTCCTGGCCAATTATACCACCCTTCGGTCTGCTCGGCGAGTCGATCGCAGTCCACAAAGGGATGCAACTCTCCGACGACTTCTTTGTACACACGGATAAGCCGTAGAGCCTCCCTCTTCGGGAGCAGGGTCTGAAATTGGAGAAGGCTGTGGCGCAGAGACCGTCTGACTGAAGGGTCCAGCGCCGCCCAGCCGTCTTCCTCAGGGCTGGTGAGGTGGGTGCCATCTTCACTATGCTGGCTTTCGTCGAGGCTAGGGCTCACATGCCAGCCAACTCCCGGAGCAGTCGAGTACTTGCCCTGGCCCATTCTCATTTGGGCCACATTGAGGCTATAGTCGGGGCTCGTCGGGCCACAGAACCCCTGCCCTGTGCAAGCTCCTCGGGCGATGGAGTCATGCTTTGTGGGCGACTCGCCGGGCCGTGAGACTGCAGCTGACGGTTCGTCGAAGGCAGCACGGATTGATGAGCTGTCTTCGGCGCCTGTGGGCTGTGGTTGGTCATGCTGGGGTAGCACGGGATTGGGTGCGTGCGCAGTCGTTGGCCCTCCTTGCGCGGCCAGGCTATTGAGCTGTCCCTGCAGGCCGGCCACCAGGTCACCCAGGTATTTCACAGTATTACACAGCGTCCTTGACACAAAGATGAAATTGTCAACAGATGAGCATCGCGGTGAGTGGGCGGGCTCAGGTGTCATCAGAACTAACTCGGGAGTCCACATGGGCTTGTCGATGGGTTGTGCGCCATCGGAGTCAGAGACAGACAGCGTGCGCTCATCCGAGGCCTCAGAGTAGGAGCACTCGGAAGAGCGGCTCAGGCAAAACTGGCAGGGTCGACGTCCGTCGCACCGGCCTTTGCGCCGGCGACACGAGTCGCAGGCCTTAGCGGCGTATGGGGCGCGTCTCTTCGCCGTGGGCTCGCTTGTGGGCTGGTTGGCGGACCGCTTGCCCGACCTCATCGACTGGCCTTGGTGCTCAACCATTTTGTGGCAAGGGGCATTCGGTCATTGACTTTGTGGGGAAACAGTCCGGAACGTCACTACCTGGGCCGTACCGAAACGTGGACTGGAAGCGAGCGGCCCGCAGAAATTCTGCTCAGGGACGCCCGGCCAAATGAAAAGGTAAAGAAGAGGGGGACCCGACGATAGACAATGGTAGAGGGAGGACCAGGCGAAACTCCCAGGTGGTCTCTTGACAATGGTGAGCTCCTTGCCTATTCTGTCATCGCCAGAAAAGGTGTCTTTATTAATACCTAGTTACCCAGTCTAGGTCACGTCCTAAAAGGCATCCATCCGCAGTGGATGGCCGTCTTGTCACTGTAGCATGCATAGCCTTTCCCCCTCACCGAACCAGATACGAACGGCCCAACGGCAGTTGACTTCATTGAAACCGTCCTATCTCTGATGCACTAAAAGGGGAAAACCAGAGAGATGCAGGCCAGGGCTTCGACCAATCGACGCAGTGCCAAGGACTTGTTGGACGTGCCGATCTTTCATTACGCGTACAAGTGCTTTTCTTCCTTATTGAACCCAGACAACGCCTTCGGAACGTTCCGGTAGTTCCGATCAATGCATTCCGGCCATGCTTGCATTATCTGATCCCATCCTGTTCCGTCCGGCAATGTATTCGAGTGCTTACAGGCATTGCCAGTGCTGGTCATTTCGCTGCTACGAGTTTCCAGGAAGCGTGTGAGCAGTCTAGATATGCCAGCCAAATGGGAATAGTGATTATGTGGGGAGCTGCGGACTTATTTGATGATTGCGAGACTCGCTCCTCGCGGAAGACAGAATCGAAAGGACAGTATGTGCCAACAGCATTGCAACGCGATCACAAACCAACCTTGTTATTCGTGCCCCCCTTTGTATGAGCTTCTTTTGCCCATTCTTGGTTCCAGCTTAGTAAAAGTTCTGTACGGCCTGAGAGTAAAGGAGACCACTTCGAAATGGCGAAAGAGATGAATGCCGACCACGACCTTGTTGTCATTGGTGCCGGTTCGTGCCTCCCAACGTTCTCACAGTCACATCACGTTGCAACCGGTAGCGTAGCTGCTCGTTCACGTGTGAGATGTATGTGAATGAATGCTGACACGAACTGGGAAGCTGGCAGGCTGGTTTGGTCTGGCTGCCGCCAAGACGTATATTGAGCTGCATCCTGATGAGAAGATTCTCATCGTTGAGTCAGCCAGCACGGCTGGGGGCACGTGGTCACAGGACCGTCTCTATCCAGGGCTGAAGTCCAACAATATGTATGGATCCTACGAGTTCCCAGACTTCCCTATGTCCGAGGAACAGTACGGCGTCAAGCCCGGAGAGCACATTCCTGCCGCTGTGCTTCACCGGTACCTCACAGACTTCTCAAAAGCATTTGGCATTTTCGAACGTACCGCCTTCAACACAAAGGTCGAATCCGCAGAGCCCAGCAACACCGGCGGGTGGGTCTTGACCACTTCTAGTGACTCAGGTGCCCGAGTCCTCCGCACCACGAAGGTTGTCGTTGCGACAGGCCTGACTTCGCAGCCCAACGTCCCCAGCTACGCCGGCCAGGAAAGCTTTACCGTGCCGTTTTTCCATGCCAAAGACTTCTGCCGCAATGCCAGCACCGTCAAGACAGCCAAACGTGCCGTCGTTGTTGGCGGCGGCAAATCCGCATACGACTGCGCCTACGCGTTCGCCACGGAAGCTGGCGCAGAGACTCACCTGATCATTCGACCAACCGGCCAGGGCCCAGTTTGGATCTGCCCGCCCTATGTGACTCCACTCAAAAGGATGATGGAGGAGCTCCTCCACACACGGTGCCTGACCTGGTTCAGTCCCTGCCCCTGGGGAGCCGAGGACGGGTTTGGTCAAGCTCGCGATTTCCTGCACGGTACCGCCGCTGGAAGGTGGATTGTGGACAACTACTGGAACAAGCTGACGGCCGATGTCATAGAGGCGAACGGCTACAACGAAAATGCGAGGCTGTTCAAGATGCGGCCGTGGAATCCGGTGCTCTGGACCGCGAGCGGCACTGGAATCCACAACTATCCTTCCAGTCTTTTCGATCTGGTGAGCGAGGGGAGGATCGTTGTGCACCTAGCAGACATCGAGAACCTGGATTCAAAGACGGTACAGCTTACCAATGGAGACTCGATCGAGACCGACGTCCTCCTATGTGCCACTGGATGGAAGAAGGAATCCTCGATCAAGTACGCAAATTTTGAGATGGGTCTTCCGGGGTCTGAGGCCGACATGGTCTCTCTCAGCAACAAGTCCGACTCGCAGATCGTGAAAATGTTCCCCAGCCTCAAGTGCCAGCCGGTTCTTAGATTCGAGCGCAAGCGCGAGGATCCCTTCCGCCTCTACAGGTTCATGGTCCCCCCCACCGCCGTCAGCAAACGCAACATTGTATTTGCAGGCCTCGTATCGACTGTCAGCACCGCCATGTTTGCAACCGTGCAGGCTCTCTGGATATCAGCTTTCTTCGACGGCAAGCTGGAGAGGATGGAAAAGACGGAAAAGGAGGTTGAGAAGGAGGTCATGCTGCACACACAGTTCGGCAAGTGGAGGTACCCCTGCGGCTACGGTGACAGCCTCCCTGATTTCGCCTTCGACTCGCTACCGTACGTGGACCTGCTCCTGAACGATCTCGGTGTCAAGGTCCACCGGAAGCCGACCCAGATTGCGGAGCTGTTTGAGCCGTACAAGCCCAAGGACTACCGGGGCTTGACCCGTGAATGGCTTGGCTCGCAGAAAGATCAGCTGAATTAGAATAGTCGGCAACTTTGGTATACGGAGAATGAGACGCGAGTGCATGTAATGCCGAGTTTACGCAGTGCTGGATGCAGTTAGTGTCATAGCTGATGAGACAAATGGCACTCTCCTGTCTTCCTCACACGATTTTGATGCCAGACTTGACCTGTCAATAGGACAATTCATGAAGCCTGTGCGTTCACTTAGACATGTTCAATGCACCGGCCTCCCGACTACAAACTTGCCGGCCTTCTGCCAGAACCGAAGTACGCCACAGCATTCGCAATGTGAAGAACGGCCGGTTGAAGATTCCATCAAAAACCCCCAGTTCAACAACATAAGTTAGCGCAGCAGCTGTGGCATCAGGCAACATGCCCAACACCCACTTTGCTTCCGGCTCGAGTGGTCCACGACACATTCTGGCCCTAGGTCGCCCACTTCGAAGAAAACAAACACGATGTGTTCTTCTCTGTCGGACCAGAGATATTGTACCGCAACGGCTTTGTTTCTCACTCTTCGGTTGCAATAGAAACTAGACTTGGCCTTCCCACCGGCCATGAGAAGCTCTTTTACAGATTTCTAGGCTGTAGGAAGAAAGAAGTCATATGAAGGCATGGGCAGATAAGATAAGCTTATCCGTGTAAGTGCCCTGTAGGGTCCCGTTTATGTAGACTACACGTACGGATGACGGCCTCATGCCCTCACTGCTATCAATTAATTACAGATTTGCCTTCAGAGCAGCCTTCCGATTTATCTTGTCCCGTGTTATTATGAGTTTCTTATAGTTTGGAAACAAGTCCGTTGGGTCCCACTTCTGCCGGATCCCAAGGAACTTAGCAAGTGCCGTATCAGACATTGGTTTTCCCTGACACAGATGTTAGCTCATACAGCCGTGGTTGCAATCATCCGGGCTGGATGTGTCGAGGTGAGGCTCACATTAGCGTCTTCACACGTGGTGTCGTAGTCTGCGATGTAAGTGCCGCAGGAGACGGGCAGGGCCCTCCTATACCGATCCCGCATCACTTGTTGCACTCCTGGCTCCAATTTGGTGTCTGTCCAGCCAGTGATGGTGGAGATGTAATATTGCTGGGGGATGCTTAGGGCCGACTCGGCCTCGTCTGGAACAATATCGCAGACGCACATGAAAGCTGAAGACCTCCGAGTCGGCAGATCGCACAAGGCGGGTCTGATCGCGTCGAGAAGCTGTGGCTCGTGGGTTAACGCCGGAAAACCGAAGGTGATGTAGCTGGGAGAGAAAGGGGTCATTCTTGCCTCTGGAAGGGGGGCAGAGGGGTCATTGAGCAGACTAATGATCTGCCATCGCTCCTCCTTGGCACCTCCAATGAGCCCACGCTTCTTTTGAAAGATGTCCTGGAACTCTCGCTTTTGAACCGGCCGCATCTCCACCAGGCATTGCTGCAAGCCAATGGGGATGTCGTCGAACGCACTCAGTAGAGTCCTGGCCTCTCCGTGCGTATCAGCATAGCATAGCAAGCTCAAGCCGAGGTGCAGGCGCGAGTTCTTGGGTATTTCGTCCGTTTCCGTCGGTGATGAATATTTCTCCGGGTAGTGGATTGTCAGATTCAGATCGGTCCCGTACTTTGGGGTGTCGTTGCTCTTCACAACGAACCAGGTCATCAACTCCGTGAACCTGTCGCGCAGTTCAAAAGTGAACGTCCTCTCCCACAGTGTTGAGGCCGGGATCGTGCGGCCCCAGAACTTGGTGATGACTCCAAAGAAGGCCAGCCCACTGCCTCGCGCTGCCCAAAAGACGTCCTGGTTTTCAGTTTTGCTGGCTGTGATGACGCGGCCGTCGGCAACGACCACTTCTATCTTGGTGATCCAGGTCTGGCAAGTCGCGCCCCAGCCCCGTACGAACCACCCCTGCCCTCCAGCCATAAGGAAGCCAGCTGACCCAACGGTAGGGGCGTGGCCGTGAGGGAAGAACCTCCCAATGCTACCCAACCTCGCCGAGAGCTCCTCCACACGCACAGCTGGGCCGAAGGAGATCTCTTGCGTCTGTTCATCATAGTCTATCTCGCGATTCAGACAAGCCGTGTCAACCATGATGCCGTCGTGGACGAGCGCTCCGAGACTGAACGCGTGGCCGCCAGACCGCACCCCAACTGCCACCCCCAGCTCTGCAGCGCGCAGGAGGGCCCGGGAGACATCTTCTGGGGACTGGGCAACGTGGATCTCGCGGGGAAAGCGATCTGGAGCACCTGCGGTCGGATTGTTGCGTCTACATCGCTCATACTCCCCGCTCCCCCGGACAAGGATCTTTGAGGAATATGTGGGCTGCGTATCGTAGGTAGACGACATTTTCTTCTTGTTTACTTCGAAGCCAATATCTGTCACACCAGACTGTCAATTGGCTGTGCACTGCATAGTATAGCTCGTTATTAGGACGATTCGGCCTGGACCACGATTAGTGCTTTTGGAACCAGCTTCGGAACGGCTTCCGGAACCAAGGACAGAGCTACGGAACTCGACTGCGCACCCCAGCGTCTCAGTCGGCAGCAATGTAATAGACTCCCTGCTGATTTGCGTTCGGATCCAATATAAACGAATCCCTATCGTGCATTCCGCTTTGGGTGGCGACCTTATGGGTTCATCGTCCAACGGAATGATGGAATAAAGTGAGGGGGATTTGGCATGGGGCCTTAGGAGCGCCTGGAGTCAACAAAACATTCGGAACAACCTATTTGATGATTTCTTCACTCCAGGTATGCATTTTTGCATGCTAAGCAAAAAGAAGCATAACCATACGGTCGTTATTTAGGGTTGCGCGCAAGAGCGGCGGATCCAGCGTAGAGAAGTTGGTAGACATGCTCATTTCCAAGGTCTCTCTGTAAGCAACTTCATCATGGGACAAAAGTAGGTAATCTACATGTGCAAATTTGTTTTTCTTTGCTTCTATTTTATCGGCGTAACTTAGACACGGTAGCAGCTAACCAAGTAGTAGGGAGCAGTACACCGCCTCGTATGCTTTTCTCGAAGCTTTGCAACAGGTGCGAAATCCCAGACTTCTCATCAATGCGCCTAGGCAGGCCTTCCACACGATCTTGACACTATCGACAGGCAGGTGTTAGCTATGTATTTGCCAACCTCGGTTCGGATCATCCAGCCCTCATGGAGGCGGTTGCCCAGGGCGGCCGTGAATCCTTCCCTCAGATCGTTACATGCCCTCACGAGGTACGTACCTGCGGCAACTGCTCTGCTGTTTCAAGGTTTATTGCAGACTCGGGAAAGAACTGACCGCATTGGGCTATCCTAGATGGTTGCCATGAGCATGGCCGACGGCTTCGCCCGTCTCACCGGCGAGCCGCAGTGCGTGCTGGTACATGTCGATGTGGGAACACAGATGCTGGGCTGTGCGATGCACAACGCTTCCGTCGCCAGGTGTCCAGTTCTGGTCTTTGCGGGGCTCTCCCCCTTCACGCTCGAGGGCGAGATGCGAGGTTCCAGGACGGAATACATACACTGGCTGCAGGATGCGCCGGACCAAAAGCAAATTGTGGCCCAATACTGTCGCTATACGGCAGAAATCAAGACCGGGAAAAACATCAAGCAGATGGTAAATCGGGCACTTCAGTTTGCGACAAGCGACCCCAAGGGACCCTCGTACCTAGTTGGGGCACGAGAGGTCATGGAAGAGGCCATCACACCATATGATCTGGATTTGGATTCATGGACAAACGTGGCACCAGCGGCTCTTCCTCCTTTTGCAGTCGAGGAAACTGTGTCACTTCTTGCATCTGCACAAAGCCCTCTAATCATAACAGGATACTCGGGCCGCAATCATGCCACAGTTCCGCAGCTTGTGGCGCTGGCGGAGTCGATTCCTGGCATCAAGGTGTTGGACGCCCTGGGCAGCGATGTGTGCTTCCCGTATACACACCGCTCTTCCCTTGGTGTCCGCATCGGGCGCGATCAAAGCATCACAGACGCGGATGTCATCCTGGTCCTGGATTGCGATGTGCCCTGGATACCTACACAATGCCAGCCACGAAAGGACTGCAAAGTGGTACATGTCGACGTCGACCCTCTGAAGCCCGGCATGGCAGTTCACTATATCCCGGCGTTCAGGCGCTACAGGGCCGACAGCGAGACAGCACTCCGTCAGCTTAACGCTTATATAGCTTCGACGGAGGAATACAGCAGGCTCCCGGAAACTGAGCCGTACGCATCTCGATGGGTTCGGCTGGCCAAATCAAGGGAAGACTCTCTTGCCGATATCGCGAATCGCGCGGCTCCTCCAAAAGCCAAGGCGGATCCTCCTAGTGCATCACACCTCTGCTCCAAGTTGCGTGAGGCATGCCCAGGAGGCACAATCTGGTGTGTTGAGGCAGTGACAAATGCCATGGCTGTTTACGACCAGCTCCAGGTCGACAAGCCAGGCCACCTGGTGAACGCCGGCGGCGGCGGCCTTGGTTGGTCTGGCGGTGGTACACTCGGGGTCAAGCTCGCATCCGACTGGAAGGCTGGGGGGACAGGAAAAGGCAACTTTGTCTGTAGTATTGTTGGTGACGGGACGTTCTTGTTTGGCGTGCCGGGAACTGCGTACTGGATCGCAATGCGGTACGAGATCCCGACCTTGACTGTCGTTCTGAGCAACAAAGGTGGGTTTCTCCAGGGTCTGCCTCATATGGCTTGCGCACGCAGGTACTGACTCAGCTTTCGACAGGATGGAATGCGCCTAGGAACTCTGTGACGCTTGTGCACCCTGATGGATGTGCCGCTCGCCAGTCGAGCGAGGAGCTCAACATCTCGTTTGCTCCTGTCCCAGATTATTCCGGGATCGCGAAGTCGGCAGCTGGCGGAAGCGCATGGGCCTACATTGTCCGAAATGTCTATGATCTCGAAAAAGCGCTTCCTGAGGCTGTCAGACAAGTCCAGGGAGGGGTCTCGGCGATACTAGAAGTTCGATTAAGCCAGTTCTAGACTGAGAAACTGGTTCACTGCCTCATCCACGGCGGGAGTCTTTCAATGAAGTAAATGTATGCTAGTCAGCAAAAAATTGTCGGGAAAACCATCAATAGAAGATGATACAATGGAGTCTTCATCTTGCCAGTTTCTCACTAGTCCACCAAATCACATCGATGGCTTGCTCGTATGAGTAATAAAAGCCCTCGTGGAAGCTCAGCCCAACTATTTCAGGCCTGCGACTTGGGATGAGAAGTCCTCCTGAATTTGATGAATCACTCCCGCGTGTTGAGGCATAAAGATCTCGCATTAAAGCGCTATCATACTATGTGTCGATCCTTCCAATGTGGAGGCCCCCAGTGATAGCGATGTCAGTGCCAGTAGTATACGTCGATAGGTCGCTGAGTAGATACAGCGCAGCTCCGACAAGGTCATCTGGCGTACCAATGCGGCGCAGTGGAGGCGCCGAGAACATGGTCTCTTTAATGACGGGGCTCGCATCCCGAGCCTTTTGCGTCATCTCCGTGTCTATGAACCCGGGCGACAGCGTATTGGCGCGAATGTTGTACTCTGCGAGCTCAACGGCCAGGCTTTCCGACAGCATCTTGACAGCACCTTTAGATGCGCTGTATGCCGACATGCGATGATGAGGCAGAACGGTGTGGGCCGTGATGGAGGCGATCAAGACAAGACTGCCACCCTGACCTTGTTTCTTCATCTGCTCCACTGCGAGTTGTGATGTGAAGTAGGTTCCGAGGACCTAGGAGCCGTGGTCAGAAAATAGTGGTTCACAGGAGGTAAGACAGCTCGACATAAAGCAATGTGGCAAGCACTGGCATGAAACAAAGCAATAGTTCAGATAGATTTCAACTCACATTGATATCCATGATCCTGCGCACCTCTTCCCATGTATGCTCCTCGAATGGCTTCTCCATTGCTATCCCCGCACATGTCACACATCCGTGGATGGCTCCAACCGCATCAACAGCTCGCTCGAAGGCCGCCCTGAGGCTTGCCTCGTTGGTCACGTCCGTCTGGATGTATTTGGCCTTCACCCCAAACTTCCCTGAAAATTCCAGAAACTCAGGTTTCGGCTTATCCTGTATATCCATGGCGACAATGTGTCCTCCTGCCTGCGCTATAGCTTTGCTAATCGCAAGTCCTATGCCCTGGGCTCCGCCTGTGATGACATAGTTGCGTCCCTTCAGGCCAAAGAAGCTAGCAAGATCGTTAGGTGCCTTAGACTGAGACATTTTGGCATCTGTTATCAAGGGAGAAAATTTGGCGAAGCTGAGAGGGGTTGATGTGGTTGTCAGATAAGCAGAAGCTGTCGGCAAGTTGTCATCATCTATGGTGGTGACCCTGTTTTCATGGGCTGTCCCAGAGGAACTTATCTGAGCACAACCATTATTTGAGCCTAAAAGTACCAAGACTGGTAATTCTAAATCCAACACCCTGAAGGAACTCTGACACCACGGAGCTCTTGCCTTGCCCGGTCGGAACTTCACATTGGGCGCGTCGGAAGCGGCCGCTCAGCTGCGGAATGCCACCCGGGACGAATTTGTGGCCAACGATTTAATATCCACCGTACTCGGTAGTCTCGTGAATGGTAATGGGCCAATTGGGGTTCATCGCGTTGACTGGCACCTATTACGTAAAAACCTTTGGGGCTGACAGTTAAACAGGCCAACGGTTCTTGCGGTCATTGCCATAGGATTACCCCTTTCGTGGGAGAGTCACGGTGCCCAAAATGTCTGAACAGAAGAGCTGGAGGCAGCTTGATATTGGCATCATTGGGGGCGGCATTGGCGGTCTAGCTTCAGCCGTCGCCCTCAGACGTGCAGGACACAAGGTGACCATCTACGAGAAGGCAGATTTCGCCGGCGAAGTCGGTGCATCTATCTCTTGTGCAGCCAATGGCACGAGATGGCTTGAGGAATGGGGTGTCGACATCGAGCTGGGAGACCCCGTTCTTCTGAAGAACCTGATCAGTCGTGACTGGAGAACAGGTGAGCCGGACAACACCTACGATCTGTCTGACTATGAGGAACGATGGGGCTATGTAAGTTCAACCTGAATTGCTTTTGAAACACGGTGCTGAGCGGGAGCATCTTGAAGGTATACAACATGTTTCACCGACAATACATGCACCGGATGCTCATGGATAGTGCTATTGGAGAGCACGGAAAAGGAGTTCCAGCCAACTTGATTGTCGATCATAAGGTAATGGAAATCTTCCAAGGTTTTGGGTGATCGATCACGCCTCATTTAGCTTATTGTATTGCAGGCCGAAAACATGGACCTTGAGAATGGCGATATCACGTTCTCCAACGCCACAAAAGTCCGACACGATGTGGTAATTGGCGCGGATGGAATAGGATCCGCTGTCCGTGGAGTACTTGGGATCAAGGCCGAGCGGAGGCCTGCTACCTGTACCTGTCTCCATGCTAATGTGGACACGGCGAAGGCAGTCGAGCTAGGGCTCGTCGATTACTCCCAGAACAGTGCCATAGAGTACTGGGGAGGCTATCACACTCACTACAAGATCGTGCTGTCTCCTTGCAACGGTGGCCGGCTTCTTTCGTTCTACTGTTTCTTCCCTCGGGAGGCGGGGGACTTTAAAAACCAGACATGGGATGCCCAGGCTACCGTCGAGGAACTCCTCGCACCATACCCTGACCTCGATCGTCACGTTTTTCGGCACCTCGAGCTAGGCTACGAGGTGCGCCCGTGGCGCTTGTGGATCCATGAGCCGTACGATTTGTGGCAGAAAGGCGACACTTGCATCATGGGAGACGCAGCCCACCCGGTGAGTTTATCCCAGGCTTGAGAACCATAGCAGATTGACTTTGGCCAGACAAAAATTGACCAGCCACAGATGATGCCCGATCAGAGCCAAGGAGCTTGTCAGGCTATCGAGGACGCTGCAGCTCTTGGCATCGTTTTCAGCAAGGAGTACTTCAGAGGAAACATCAGGGAGGCCCTCGAAGTTTACGAGCAGGTCCGAAAGCCCAGGGCGACGAAAGTGCAGTCAGCCTCTGCCAGAGCGCGAGAAAACATAAACGAGCGCATTGGTAGGCATCCAGTTGACCCATCCCCTCCCAGAGTTGCTGCAAATATTTGGGCCATGCTAAACGAGTTGAGTGCAGGGTTCTCCAGCAACACAAATAATCCTCACTACTCAGTGAAAACGAAACCAACAAGCTGACCATCGAGGAGATGAATCGGTAAGTGGGGATCATCGGAGGACGGGCAAGGAAAATGACACTAATGTCTCTCCCTTTAGCTACGACATGCATTCTCACATCAAAGAGACCTTGCAAGAGCGGCGTCAGACGGTGTCAAATCGGGAACAAGTATTACCAGGGCAGGTATTGGAGAAAGAGCGCTTTGAAAACATGTCCAGCACGGTCCGACTGTCAGGTTGAATTACTTCATTGGAAGAAACATTCACTATCCATGTGTGGTCCTTTTTTATAGTCTCTAAGTATGAATTCAACCAAATGTTCAAGTATCAATTTTGGCGACTCACTGATCGCAAGGGGGTGTAGGGTATTGACGCCCTCCACGCCGGTACTTCTGGCTGGCACTCATCATCTATCCCCACCCGTGCCTGCATTGCAGAAACGGGATCAAGTATGAAATCTCGCAACTTCAAGTGGCGTAGGATAGCCCCGTAATGAGAATATGGACCAGGAGGCAAAGGATCCAGTACGAAGGTGAGCTGACGGGATGCTTGATGTGCCGCATGCTCCCAAGCCTTGATTTCGTCGGCTCCGATCGTCGGTTTTGTCGAGTACCATGAGCTGCTCCATGTGAGCTCGCAGGTCTTGGACCGTACTGTTTCTGTTGCTTCGTACCTCAAGATAGCCGCGTGCCCATTCTCACAATTCCACAGCTCCATGATTTGTAGTCTCGGTAATTTTGTAACCGCTGTAGCAGCATCCGGCAAAATTCTCCTGACTTTCCAATCGGTTGGTTGGAGATGCTCCTGGGAAGTGATGGCGAGTGATTGTAGATTTGGCAAAGCACCAGCCGGGAATTTGAAGCAATCCATTGCATCGCTCAGAAAAGAGATGGAAAGGTGCTTGAGATTAACAGCTCGCCCCGCAAGCCCATCGAGCACTTGGATTCGGGATGATCGAAACATGTCCGTTCCATAAACCTCACTGACCTCTGCCGCTTCAGGAGATTTTGAGCTGGTGTCCTCGAACAGCGATAGACTTTCCAGCGATGACGGCAAGCCGTGTCTAAGTACAATACCTTTTCCCGAGAGACCTTGGTCCATGTGACCGCCACTCATCTCGATGGGTCCGAAAGCCATTTCATACATCTTTTGAGATAGAGGATGCGGCAAACGCCACCGTTCATATCTCATGTTGCGGCTGTTCTGGGTTAGTCACCCGGTACAGAGCCAGAAGCGATGCAATCTGGAGGATTCAAGAAAGGACCGATAAGCAACTGCGTCGGTGGGAGACTCATACGTGCAGGCCAATGAGGGTCTCTCGGAGCAGTTTGTTCAAGGTGTAAGGACTTAATTCCCGGTAAAATTGTCGACGAAGAATGAAAGAAGAGATCATCTTCACCTCGGGTAGCCTGTGCTTTGATTGCGCGTGGTTGGGTCGCACACCAAAAAAGTCGAACTCGAGAGGCCTTATAAGCCTTTCCGCAATATTTTCAGGATGGAGCGACGTTCCTGTTGATATAGAGCTGTATTGGCTGGTAGAAAACCCGTGGAATGGATCATTCAGTTGGTAATCACCGCTGGTGATGGCTTTTCCGTATCGCATGGTAAAGGCCTTCTGGACACTTATCGGGTCAAGACTTGGATAATCTTCTTGTAACCCGGCATTATCCTGAAAACAATGGTGTTGGTCACTCGAGGAATCAGCGCTGAGCTCCAAAGTCATGTCCTGGTTGGGATCTCTTTTTTCCCAATCCGAAAGGATATTTAGTAATGTCCAAATAGCCTGTGTAAAGATAACGTTGTTCCTAGATTAGTTAGCAATGGTTTACAGCAAGATGTACTCCATCAGTAAATGTACCTGACGGCTTCTTTCGGTTCTTCTGGTAACTTGCATCTCCTGCAATCGTACGCCAGAAGCCCGATGCGCAACCAAATATGCTGAATCTGTGGAAGGCTACAAGTGTCGTGAGGGGTTTGAAAGCATGATTATAAAAGCGTTTATCTCCTAAGAGTAGTTTAGAAGGGGGAAATAAAAGAAATCTGGTTATTTAAGCATTTTAGAAAGTAGTTATAAACTAGGGTTAGGGATATATATGCAATACACCCCTTAGTTAAAAGGCAATTTTTACCCTATTAATTACCTTACTTTTTTAAGCAACTAATTTATACTTAAAAACATTAGCTGCAGCTTATTAAGCAGTTAATTATTTAATCTTTCTTATAATATATATATTTTATTACTTAAACTTTAGCTATTTATTGCCTTATAATATAGCTTATAATTAATAATTAAACCTTTTTTAAAAACTTTTTAATTAAATTTATATTTAAAAATACTTACTTTTATTAATTTTAAGCATTTTTTTAACTATATTAAAAATAATTAAAAGCAATAAAAAATAGGCTTTTAAGCCTTAAGCTATTTCACCTTTTTATATCTTTAAGGTTTAAAAAAAGAAATATAAGCGCGCTTAAATTAATAAGGAGTTTATTAATAAAGATAGCAAGAGCTTTAATGCTTTTATTAAAATATTACTAAATAATATGCTTAAAAGTAAGTTTCTTAATTAATTTAAAAACTAATTTTAAAGCATATATTAATTTTTAATATAGCTTTAAAGAACCTTTAAGTATATATAAATAGCTTAAAGCTTAAAATAAAATTCTTTTTTAAGGAAAAGGTTAAAATAAAGCATAAAGAAAAGAAGAAGGATATAAAGGAGCTTAAGAAGATTAATAAGCATTATATTTCTTATCTTCCTTGCATTAAGAGTTTTATATATAATTATAATAATAATTTTTATATAAATTATAATAATAAAGGTAATTATTATTATTATTGCATTTAAGGCGATTTTTATAAGCTGCTTTTAATATTCCTTTTATTATTTATACTTTATTTTTATTATGCTTAGTTTAATAATTCCTTAGCGCTTAAGAAGTTCCGGTATACTTAAAAGGAAGCCTTAAATATATATAATGTTGGCGGGTGCAGGGAATTATATAAGAAATGGTATCGCGTTAAATTCCGGCTGGCTATAAAAAGTTAGCTTTTATACTTATTCTAAATATTCTTTTAAGAAATTAACTCTTTTTTTTTCTTATATATTTAATGCTTTAATTAAGCTTTTTTTATTTTTAAGAATTTTTAAAATATTTATCTTTTCCCTTTCTTTAGTTTTTTTTTATTTTTATCTTCTCTTTTTATTATATTAAAGCTTTTCCTTAAGTTATTCTTAAGAGGGTTTAATAAAATCTATCCCTTATTATTTAAGTAGCTTATTTTTATTAATAATCTAGCCTAAGTATAATTTTAATCTTATATATCTTTAATTAATAATAAGAAAAATAGGAAGTTAACTATAAACTAATTATTTATTAATTTCATTTCTTTTTATTTTTATATTAAATATTATTAAATTATTTTATATATTAACTTAAAGCTTTAATTAAAGCTTATATTTATCTTTAATTTATTATAAAGAAAAGTTAAGTATAATTAAATTTATAATAATATTATAAGTACTTTAAAACTATTTTCCAATCTTAGGGTACCTTTTATACTTTTAATATTTAAATAAAATACTATCTTAATCTTATATTAATATATTATTAAGCTTTAAATTTATTTTAAATTTTTTATTAAAAATTATACTTAAAATATAATAATAATATAAACTTAAAACTAAAATAATAAATTTAAATTTTATAAATATTACTTAATATTAATTAAAGATACTTTAAATTCTTAATTAATATTTATTATTATTATTATAACCTTAAGTTTAAAATAAAAGGGGCCGTAATATAAAATTAAGATGCCTACCTTACTTATTTATAAGTTTAATAAATAGCATTATATTATACATTCTTATATTAATTAAACTATATAAGAAACTTAAATTTAAAATATAACTTTACTTAAGCTTTAATTAAACTTAAATTTAATTTATTAAGAGTTTAATATAATATTAATAAGCAAGGCATTAAATATAAATTTAAGGAGCTTCCTTTATTATAGCCTTATAATTCTTATTTCTTAATAAAATATCCTTTTATTAAATTTATTTTATTTATTATATTTATTAATATCTTTATTTTTTAAACTTTAATTTAAATATTTTATAATAATATTAAAAATAAATTTTTTAAAAGTAATTATTTTAATTAAAAATACTATTACTTTTAAGTTTCTTTATTTTACCATTATCTTAATAAAAATTATTATAGCATATATATTGCATTTTTAAGCTTAAAGTCCTCCTAAACTTACTTTTATTTTAAAAATACCTTAAAACCTTAAAAACTATTTATCCTTTTTTATTTAAAGCTAAGAAAGGAATTTTAAAAAATTTATTAAAGAAAAAGAAAGATTTAATCTTGCTTATTATTAATTAAAATATTAACCTTGCTTTAATTAAACCCTATAATTTATTATTAATAATAAATTAAGAACTTAAATTAATATTTTAAAAGTTTTATTTTTTATTAATATAATAATTTTATTATAAATAGCTTTATTTATAATTTATAATTTAAATACTTTAAAGTTTAATAAAATTAATATTATTAAGGTTTTAAATAATCTTAAAATTATTATTTATTAATTTTCTTACTTAAATAATTAAATCTTAAAATTACTTAAATAATATTATATTACTTTAAACTTAGCAAAAATAATTAAAAGCATTATTACTAAATAATTTATTTAAAAAGATTAAAAGAAAAAGCTTTTTACCTTTTATAAGTTTAATAATTAAACTTGCTATATAAATTTAACTATAATTATTAAAAATATTATTTATAATAACTCTTATAATAACTTAAAAGCATAAAAAGAAAAGATTATAAAATATAATTAAGAACTTAATAATATAAATAATATTTCTTTTATTATAACTTAGCCCTTTTATAAGGCGCTTTTATTATATTTAAAAAAGTAATTAACAAAAAAAGGAATTATTTATAAATTAATAAGGAATATTTTCTAGCTAAACTTTAAGCATGCCTTATTAAAAGTTATTAATTAAAAACTTAAATATTTTAAGTAAAATAAATATTTATTTATATAAAATAATTTTAATTAAAATCTACTTAATTTAAAAAGGCTAAATTTCCTTTAAAAAAGCTAAAATAATTTTAATTCTTTAAATTGCCTTTAAAATAAAAACCTATAAGCTTAATAATTTTTATTTAAATTTAATTATATTAATATTATTAAAAAATATAATTAAAATTTATAAAATATTAATAAACTTATTAAAAGGTTTATAAAGTTAAAACTTAACTTAATTAAATTTAAAGATAAATTTAAGTTATTTTAATAAAATATTAAAGCTCTTTCTTATAATAAATAGCAAAGTAATTTTAAAATAATTAAGCTAAAAGCTATAAATTTTATTTAATAGCCTTTAATAAAACTTAATTAAAGTAACCTTAATAATAATAAGGTATAAACTATAATTTTAATGCTTCTTTTTAAAAAGAATAAGTTACTTAAAGTTTGCTATAATTATACTTTTTAAGACTATAATAT